ATGGAAGGATTGTGAAAAAGGATGATGCAAATTATCCCCGGATTTCTTCCCAAGGAGCAGGTCTCCCTGTTTATAAAATGTGTTAAAGTGCTTCCGAGCAATGCACATTTTATCCTCTTAACAGTCAAATTAGTATATACTCCAGCAATTACTTAATGTAGTAATCACATCCCCTTGCAATCAAAGGGGGTTTCAGAGTCATACATAGTGTATGGTGTCCATATGAGGACAGCCTCAAAGTTATGTGACTCTGAGGCTGTACTAATATGGAAACTGTAGTACCTTAATGGGCTTGGTTTCTTCCGTTTCCACTGCAAATACAGTGCCTTCACAAAGTATTCACACCCCTTGACGTTTCCCACATTTTGTTGTTACCGCCTGAATTTAAAATGGATTGAGATTTTGTGTCACTGGTTTACACGCAATACCCCATAATGTCAAAGTGGAATTATGTTTTTCAAAATGTATACAATTTAATTACAAATTCAAAGCTGAATTGTATTGAGTCAATAAGTATTCAACCCTTTTGTTATGGCAAGCCTAAATAAGTTCAGGAGTAAAAGTTTGCTTAATAATAAGTTGCATGGACTCTGTGTGCAATAATGTTTAACATGATTTTTAAATTACTACCCTATCTCTGTACCACACACATACAATTATCTGTAAAGTCCCTCAGTCGAACAGTGAATTTCAAGCACATATTCAAACACAAAGATCAGGGCACCTATTGGTAGATGGGTAAAAATTTTTAAAAAATACATTGAATATCCCTTTGAGCATGATTAAGTTATTAGTTACACTTTGGATGGTGTATCAATAGACACAGTCACTATAAAGATACAGGCGCCCATCCTAACTCAGAGGAAATAAACAGCTCAGGGATTTCACCATGAGGCCAATGGTGATTTTAAAACAGTTACAGAGTTGAATGGCTGTGATAGGAGGTAACTTAGGGGGGATAAACAACATTGTAGTTACTCCACAATACTAACATAAATTACAGAGTGAAAAGAAGGAAGCCTGTACAGAATAAAAATATTCCAAAACATGCATCCTGTTTGCAATACGGCACTAAAGTAATACTGCAAAAACTGTGGCAAAGAAATGAATTCAAAGTGTTATACACTGCTCAAAAAAATAAAGGGAACACTTAAACAACACAATGTAACTCCAAGTCAATCACACTTCTGTGAAATCAAACTGTCCACTGTCACACCCTGGTTCGGGGACTCATTATGTTGAACCAGGGTGTGTTCATTCTATGTTTTCGGTTTCTCTGGTGGGTGTTCTAGGTGGTTTATTTTCTATGTTTGCCGGTGTGACTCCCAATCAGAGGCAAACGAGTGTCAGCTGTCGGCTGTTTGTCTCTGATTGGGAGCCATATTTAATCTATCTGTTTTCCTTTCGGGTTGTGGGATTTTGTTCGTGTGTGTTCGTGTTGTACACTGGACGTCACGCTTTCGTTGTTTATTGCTTTTGTTGTTGTGAGCATTTAATAAATATAATATGTTCACTCGCAATGCTGCGCCTTGGTCTCCTGTTCTAGACGATCGTGACATCCACTTAGGAAGCAACACTGATTGACAATAAATTTCACATGCTGTTGTGCAAATTGAATAGACAACAGGTGGAAAGTATAGGCAATTAGCAAGACACCCCCAATAAAGAAGTGGTTCTGCAGGTGGTGACCACAGACCACTTCTCAGTTCCTATGCTTCCTGGCTGATGTTTTGGTCACTTTTGAATGCTGGCGGTGCTTTCACTCTAGTGGTAGCATGAGACGGAGTTTACAACCCACACAAGTGGCTCAGGTAGTGCAACTCATCCAGGATGGCACATCAATGCGAGCTGTGGCAAGAAGGTTTGCTGTGTCTGTCAGCGTAGTGTCCAGAGCATGGAGGCGCTACCAGGAGACAGGCCAGTACATCAGGAGACGTGGAGGAGGCCGTAGGAGGGCAACAACCCAGCAGCAGGACCGCTACCTCCGCCTTTGTGCAAGGAGGAGCAGGAGGAGCACTGCCAGAGCCCTGCAAAATTACCTCCAGCAGGCCACAAATGTGCATGTGTCTGCTCAAACGGTCAGAAACAGACTCCATGAGGGTGGTATGAGGGCCCGACGTCCACAGGTGGGGGTTGTGCTTACAGCCCAACACCGTGCAGGACGTTTGGCATTTGCCAGAGAACACCAAGATTGGCAAATTCGCCACTGGCGCCCTGTGCTCTTCACAGATGAAAGCAGGTTCACACTGAGCACATGTGACAGACGTGACGGAGTCTGGAGACGCTGTGGAGAACTTTCTGCTGCCTACAACATCCTCCAGCATGACCGGTTTGGCGGTGGGTCAGTCATGGTGTGGGGTGACATTTCTTTGGGGGGCCGCACAGCCCTCCATGTGCTCGCCAGAGGTAGCCTGACTGCCATTAGGTACCGCGGTGAGATCCTCCGACCCCTTGTGAGACCATATGCTGGTGCGGTTGGCCCTGGGTTCCTCCTAATTCAAGACAATGCTAGACCTCATGTGGCTGGAGTGTGTCTGCAGTTCCTGCAAGAGGAAGGCATTGATGCTATGGACTGGCCCGCCCGTTCCCCAGACCTGAATCCAATTGAGCACATCTGGGACATCATGTCTCGCTCCATCCACCAACGCCACGTTGCACCACAGACTGTCCAGGAGTTGGCGGATGCTTTAGTCCAGGTCTGGGAGGAGATCCCTCAGGAGACCATCCGCCACCTCATCAGGAGCATGCCCAGGCGTTGTAGGGAGGTCATACAGGCACGTGGAGGCCACACACACTACTGAGCCTCATTTTGACTTGTTTTAAGGACATTACATCAAAGTTGGATCAGCCTGTAGTGTGGTTTTCCACTTTAATTTTGAGGGTGACTCCAAATCCAGACCTCCATGGGTTGATACATTTGATTTCCATTGATACTTTTTGTGTGATTTTGTTGTCAGCACATTCAACTATGTAAAGAAAAAAGTATTTAATAAGATTATTTCATTCATTCAGATCTAGGATGTGTTGTTTAAGTGTTCCCTTTATTTTTTGAGCAGTGTATTTGGGGCAAATCCAACACAACACATCACTGAGTACCACCCTTCATATTTTCAAATATGGTGGTGGCTGCATCATGTTATGGGTATGCTTGTCATCGGCAAGGACTAGGGATTTTTTTTTTTTTTGATAAAAATAAACGGAATAGAGTTAGGCCTAAGCACAGGCAAAATCCTAGAGCAAAACTTGGTTCAGTCTGCTTTCCAACAGACAATGGGAGACAAATTCATACTTTCAGCAGGACAAGTACATAGAAAGCAAAGCCAAATATACACTGGAGTTGCTTAACAAGAATGTTCCTGAGTGGCCGAGTTACAGTTTTGACTTAAATCAGCTTGAAAATGTATTGAAAAACTTGACAATGGCTTTCTAGCAATGATCAACAACCAAATTGGCAGAGCTTGAAGAATTTTTTAAAGAATAATCTGCAAATATTTTACAATACAGGTGTGCAAAGCTCTTAGAGACTTACCCAGAAAGACTTACATCTGTAATCACTGCCAAAGGTGATTCTAACATGCATTGACTCGGGGTGTTGAATACTTATCTAATCAAGATATATTAGTGTTTTATTTTCCATTAATAATAAAAAAAAGTTAGAATTTTTCTTCCACTGAGTTTTTTTTGTGTAGATCGTTGACAAAAAATGTCATCCATTTTAATCCCACTTTGTAACGCAACAACGTGTGGAAAAGGTCAAGGAGTGTGAATACTTTCTGAAGGCACTTTAGCAGCAGAGGTCTGTGATTCCATTGACCACTTGCAGTGGCTTGTTGGGGGATATCTGTCGGCCACTGGTGCTGATTCTGTCTCCAAGCAAAACACTGAAATATTGATGAGAAGGTGTATCGATCGGAGCCAAGTTTTTGGTCAGTATTTTTCAGCCTTATTTTGATACATGCCCACTCATGTTGTGTAAGTTATTATTTATTTTTGTACCCCCTTTTTCTCCCCAATTTCATGATATCCAATTACGATCTTGTCTCATTGCTGCAACTCCCCCACGGGCTCGGGAGAGGCGAAGTCATGCGTCCTCCGAAACATGACCAGCCAAACCATGCTCCTTAACACCCGCCAGTTTAACCCGGAAGCCAGTCACAGCAATGTGCCGGAGGAAACACCGTTCAACTGACGACCGAAGTCAACCTGCAGGCGCCCAGCCCTCCACAAGGAGTCGCTAGAGCGTGATGAGCCAAGTAAGGCCCCCCGGCCAAACCCTCCCCTAACCCGGACGACGCTGGGCCAATTGTGCTCAGCCCTATGGGACTCCCGGTCACAGCCGGTTGTGAACGAACATGGGTCTGTAGTGATGCCTCAAGCACTGCGATGCAGTGCCTTAGACCACTGCGCTACTCGGGAGGCCCTCTAATTGGTGTTTTTAAATGAAAAACAAGAGAAAGTTGATCGTATTTAGTTAGAGTTTTTTTTACATGGAAAACGTGTTATGCTCCTCATATCTAACTGATACAATAAGACATTTCTATAATACCAAGGGCCCTAAATACAACATGCTCAATTTAGTGATAGTAATAGTGATTTAATTCAATATTTTCTATTATACCTGAGTAGTCTAGTACCTACTCCAAGTTATCTGATCCACCTGTGTTTTAATGTGAACTAAAAGGACACCCTAATGGAGTAGAGAAGAAGCTGAGCTCCTGTTCTGATGGAGCCATTTTCTCTGTCTCCTTTCCACTCACCTCACTCTCTTCCATTACTGCAGCAGATTTCAAAGCTGCTGTTGGTATTCACAGCATTCCCTGAAATGGAGTGGGGCTCTCTCTCTGTTTACAGAGCAAATCTAATGCCGGCTCTAATGTACACAATCCAGTCCACTGCCAGTGTTAGTGCAAAACCCCTTAAGAATGTTGGTGGTAGTTTCAGACAACTGTGTTCCAGACCAGTTGGCCTTGAGCTAATGTGACTGTCTCCTTTTCTCAGGGGGGATTTTCGAACAAACAGAGGGACCGGTGCCGCTCGTCAGCCCAGAGGAGCTTGCCTTTAAATTTGCAGTGAACAACATCAACAGAAACAGGACTTTATTGCCCAACACGACGTTAACGTACGACATACAGAGGATTAATATCTACGACAGTTTTGAAGCGTCGAGAAAAGGTGAGTGACATGCACTTTGTTTGTCCAGGGATTGTGGCCAATGGCCACACTGTGGAATGGATGGAAGCAAGGCCATTGGACGACAGCAGAACATAACAAACCAACCTAAAGGTTTATTGCAAGTCTTTCTGGCAAGGGGTTTCAGTAGTCTAACTCATAGTGCGTTATTATATACTTGGCTGTTATAGATTTTTAATAGTGGCATTTTGTTTGATGTTAGTTAACTGCACTTTGAAACCAGGATTTATTCTAGTAGACATATAACAACAATTTTGCTTTGTGGTGAACAAAACCATTTTCCATATATCATTTATTTGACGATCCACCAAATACATTATTCAGCTCACTTGTTGAGCGTCATGACATGTGATATGCTGTCTTCCCTAGAGTTAACTATCTCTCTGTTCTTGCCATTCTAGCCTGTGACCAACTGTCTTTAGGTGTAGTGGCAATATTTGGGCCGTCACATAGCTCGTCCTCAAACGCCGTCCAGTCCATCTGCAATGCTTTGGAAGTGCCACACATCCAGGTGCGATGGAAACATCACCCTATGGACAACAGGGACACGTTTTACGCCAATCTGTACCCGGATTACTCTTCTCTCAGCTACGGCATCTTGGATTTGGTGCAGTTCCTCAAGTGGAAAACGGCCACAGTCGTATACGATGACAGTACAGGTGGGAGTATGACATTTTCTAACCAATGGGGGGTGAGTTTCCCGAAAGCTTCATAGTACTAAGATCAGCTTAAGTCCAATCATAGTGATACAAAGCTTTCCGGAAATGCAGGGTTTGTTATACTCTACAGTATATACTTTTGAATCGTGATACTTTTGTCTGGTAAATGTGATATGTGTAACATCAACCACCAAACAGCTAAATTACACTTTACTAGAAGCAAAATATTCATTTTGTTAAACGTTCTTGATATGTGTGTGTTGACAGTTGAATGATGTTGTGCGTGGTTGTTAGCTTTCTGATGTTTGTTTCCTAAAGGTCTTATTAGACTACAGGAACTGATAATGGCCCCCTCCAGGTATAACATCAGGCTAAAGATTCGCCAGCTCCCTCTTGATGGAGAGGACACCAGGCCTCTCCTCAAGGAGATGAAGAGAGGACGGGAGTTTCGCATAATCTTTGACTGCAGCCATGAAATGGCTGCACAGATCCTTAAACAGGTGAGAGCCTTACAGGCACTGCCTGGCACTGTCCAGAGCTGACAGAATGTAACTGATTGACGCTATAGACAATATCAAATTCATATTCTGCATTGACATGCATTCTGGAATTGGGCTTATTATAAAGCGGTAATGTTGTGTTAGAAAATAATCGTTCTGCTTTGAGCCATTCTGAATTGCAAGTGTCAAAACTGAGTTATGTAAATCTGTTTTTCAAAGCCAGTATTATGTGTTTTGCTGTGCTTATTTTGGTTGATATGATATTTATTGCCTTTTACACTACAGATGAAATGCTGTTATTTGATGTTCTAACTCACATACCAGGAACACTTTGTTGATTTTAATAATGATATTGAAGCACATACTGTGGTTTCTGATGAAAATGGCTGAATTTGGCTCATGTATCTTCCACTGTAATCTGCATACGGTGGTGACGGATGCATATCAGACCAATAAACTACAAAATATAGACCATCACAGATTTATCACTTACAGTATGTGATGAGGAGACATGTCTTCTTGAGGCAAAGAATGGCTTTTGAAGAATGTAATCCAAATGCATTTTGACATAAGTAGTTCAGTTTATGTTTGATGTTGCAAAAAGTTGCTGATGATTGAAACACAATAATATACTCAAAAGATTGCTTGCCTTATGCATCATACCCCTTCTGTTAGATATGACGCTTCTGAGGACGAAGAGATATTCAGCAACTCTTGGGTGGATAATGGAGGTTGCTTCAAAAATATATATTGTATTTCTAAAGCCTCTTTAAAAATATACATGTATAACACTACTCCAAGACTTCTGCAGTACCCTACGTTTGAACTTTGATATGGCGTTTGCTGATAGTCCCTGGCCTTCCCCACAAGGCCCTGCTTTCTACCTGTCTGTTTGCACTCTGCAGCCTGTCTGGTGTTCTCACCTAAAAACAACCTCCCCTCGTCAGATCTGATCCCCCCTCAAGGTGTAGAGAAAATAAATGGAAAACATGGCAGGACCAGACCTTTTGTCTGGACCTGTCCCAGAGCTATATCCCAGGTGTCTCTTAAAAAGCGCTGACCCCTTTAGCGACGGTTCCATCCTGGTAGCACTTTTTGTCTCATTTCTTTAAGTGTCTCGGCCACCGGGGGAGAGAGGGACAGATGGAGGCCAATGAAATGAGGTTGATGAGGCTGTAGTAGAGTCAGGTGAGGGACCCAAAACACACATCTTAATGTGACTTTGAAAGTGCAGGTTATATATTATATATATCAGTGGAGGCTGGTGTCAGGTGAGGGACCCAAAACACACATCTTAATGTGACTTTGAAAGTGCAGGTTATATATTATATATATCAGTGGAGGCTGGTGACTTAAACGCACAGAGACGACAAAGTGTCTTTCAAAAATCTTCAAAGACTAATTATTTTAACATAAAGTATTTAATAAAGACAATTATAGTACAATATTATGGGGAATGGGAATGAGAGGGCTACTTACACAGTATTGGGAAGGGATCACAGCAGTGATTGAATGAGGGTATGTGGCATGAGTTGAGGTGTTCAGAGGCTTGACCAGTGCAGGACAGGATTTGAATCGGAAGACAAAAAACAATAACACAACACACTACACAGTTAGACAAAAGAGCTAAGAATGAGTTAGTCCAAGCAAGGAGTAAAATCATTGATGTGTAATAATGTGATTGTTTGTGTGTATGTGATTGACTCTACATACAGTAAAGAGAGAAAATTGATAGGGGTACTCACAGTGCTTGGAGAGGAAACATTCAATGTGCCAGTGGATGACCGGGCACATGAGATGTGGCTTCAGTTCATGTCAGGAGAGAGTTCAGCTCTTAATCAGGGAACAGTAGGGGACTTAGCCGTAAATACAAATAGCAGATACATTCCATTGCAGCTGCGCCATCGTAGGTTTGGACAACGAGTTTATCTATGAAGTTAAACTCAGACATCTCAAAATTCATAAAGTCAAAAACAGACTGCACATCTCGCCCACTTGACACATCAAAGCAGCCCAAGAAATCCCTGATCATCCACATACCTGACGATGACTGACAACTGCAAGCAGACTGGTGGCACCATAGGTCCCAGAGTGGTGGGGCAATTTTTACCCCCTGGGGCCTGGAGTTTTTCCTTATATGTTAACCTAACTAGGAAAACTCTGGACCCTATAAGGTATGACAGTGATTTATCAGTTGTAAAAAGGTTTTAATATGGGCTATGATGGGACCAGTTTTTCCTAATCAGGTCACATGGTTTTAAAAAAACTCCTGGCCCTGGGGGGGATGAAAACGCTGTCAAACTGCAGTTACCTTATATTTGTTCATATAAATTATATTTAGACTAGATTAGGAGGAGGATTTCCTCTACCCAGACACATAGACAGCAACTGATAGACAATAGAACTCACAGGGCTGAGCTTGCTTTATGCATGTTCACATCATGCAGGCCTATGCAACTGTAGGCCTTATAAAACATTTACTCACATCTGTCATCACTATTATGTTGACTGATTAATTCAAGTTAATAATACCAGCCCAATTTTGAATATAAACTAAATTTGATCACATTCACATGTTCTCCTCACACACAAATAGACTATAAATACATAACGTTAACAATTAGTTTACCCTGACCAGATGGACAGGGCGCATAGGATGTATGCAGCTGCTCTTATTAGTAGCCTACAGTTGATCAGACTGAAAAATTGTCTCGTTTTCATCCCATACAGCATGTCAGATTTCTAATATTTAGGTGTAGCCTAGGCTGCTGCAACATTTATGTCATGAGTTTTTGCTTGTGTCTGTCCGGAGTGATTGTGTTATCATCTTTGCTAAATAAATACCAGAGGAAAGTGGAAAGCCTACTTGAGCGCCCGATAGAAAATGAGCTGCGTCAACCTCTCTTTAAGCAACATTTTTATGGATGATGCGATGGAAGCTATCAAATCATTCGGAATTGTTTTCGACATCCTAGAAAAGACAGATGAATGTTCGATATGTTCAGCAAGTACAGCGTCATAACTTGCAATTACCTCTGCAAGCTCCTTGTAGTTGCCCTTGTTGGCGGAACTTTCCCTCTCGTTGTGTTCTCTACGATGCCCTTTTCCCCAAACTTGAATCGATGGGCATTTATAGCTCCTGCTTTTGTTTTGCCGTTTAGCTGAACGATCAATGTTCTTCAGGTCACTGTACCCACCATTCGACCAAGGCTCAGACTTTCCAAAAAGCAGGCAAGGCCAGCAATACAGAAGGCTTGATGAAAGACTCCGTTAACCAGCTATACTTTTGATACCAGTTGGTATTGAACATCCTCACCTTTTCATCCTTCTTCATGAAACTGATCTCAGGCAGAGGTCGACCCTCACTTTTAATTCGCACCTTTTCCGTGTACCCCAGAGAATGAAAGGGGTTCTTCAACAAAAAGTCCACAACATTTTCGGCAGCGTTGGCCATTCTACCATTCTGGCGGAGAAAACTGCACACTCATGCTGGTAACTAGCTAGCTACTGAAGTTAGTTAGTAAGGCAACTTTTACATTTTTTAAATAAATTGCACTAACTGGACACAAAAATAAAGTCCCATAATACTCTGTGGCACAATCCCAAAACAACACACTAGGTTCATTCTCTGATCCTATTTCAATGATTGGATGGACAACATGTCAGTTCATACTGCAAAAGCTTTGATTGGTTAGAGGACGTCCTCCGGAAGTGGTCATAATTACCATGTATGTCTATGGAAGGGGGTGAGGCCTACGAGCCTCCTAGGTTTTGTATTGAAGTCAATGTAGCCAGAGGAGGACGGAAGCTAGCTCTCCTACGGCTACACCATGGTGCTACCCCAGACAGTGCTGTTGAAGTTACTGTAGACCTTCATTGTAAAACAGTGCATTTTAATCAATTACTTGGTGACATAATTCAGTATAGTTTTATCTAAAAAGCATAACTTTTTTATGTTTCTAATGTTTTAATTTTTATGAAATTTCACTGAGGCTGGTTCTCCCCTTCCTCCTCTGAGGAGCCTCCACTGATATATATATATAATCTTTATACTCCCAACCACTATACTTTCCATAGGCTGGTATTCATCCAACAATAGTGGAGATCCTATATCTAAAAATTGTCGTTGGAAATATTTTTCCCTTCTGACATCTCATAGCATTTATAGTCTCGTGAATTTTCTTTGTAGTCGGTAGGTGCAGTAAATGGAGAAGAGACTTCCACTTCCAAAAAACACTGCAATTTTTTTGCATAACCTTGGGTATTCTTCACAACAGATGGTACAATTAAACAGGAAATACTGCCGCCATGGGAATGTAGAATATTTGAATGTAGATTGAGTGAAACAAGTGGTGGTCGTGATGGGGGGATGGTGAAATAGGAGGATAGGAGGAACACATTACTGCTCACTTCTTTGATTGAAGGCTCCCTTTCTCCAGGGAGGGAATCACGTGATCAGAGTAATTGCAAACCCTTTAAATGCATGGTGTCAAAAAAGCCCTCTGGCACCGTAGAATCACAACTTGATTTTACTTTATTATCTAAGGGTCACATGTGGCACCATAATTGCAACAAAAACAGCAGCACGAACTTGGCAAAGACGGAGACATACAGCGATGGTCAATACACTCATTAAGACCTGTGGCTTTTCTCCCATTGCTCCTAAACAGCTTCGATGGCGTTCAGCGTTTTGTTTGCCATTTTTTGTTTTGACTGCGGATATTGATTGCAAATTACCCCAACGTGACACAGTGACCTTCTTCATTGTCTTGTCTCTCCATTCCTCTCTCTTCCTCTCCTCCTCCTCCTCCCCCTTCTCATATTTCCCTCTCTCTCCCCTACAGGCCCAGACGATGGGAATGATGACAGAGTACTACCACTACATCTTCACCACTCTGGTAATTTACAATGCTTGCTAATGCAAATCGAGTCAAATTCTTTCCCATCTCCTCACCCTTTGATTTTTTTGATGAATGGTGCTTAATTGCCGATGGGGGTTTGGATCCAGTCCACAATACCAATTTTGTTTGGCAAGCTGGCAGCGTAATGGAGTCTTCAATACTCCGCCACCTGTAAACACTTCTCTCGCTGTTAAAGTCAACATAAGTCTTTGAAGAGGTAGTACAAAGGCAACAGATTGGAAGTAGATGATGGAGAATGTTGTTTGAGAGTTTGATAGAGGAAACATATTCATGCAGATAACCTACAATAAGTCTTGAGGGAAGGTAGATTACTGATTAGGCCTATTGTGTATTATGTCTGATTATTTTGGACAATATCCCCCATTGTGAGACATATTGAATGAACACTAACACATTAGTGTTTTGATTGTAAAACATGCACAAGCATTTTTTCAGGTAGTGCAGCCTTGTCCTTGCCACCATTTGAGTGCTGTAGTCTAATGGCCCCTTTTAGCTAGATGTAATTTTGTTCAGAATAAGCACAGGTGTTTTCCATTTTACAAAATTTGAGTCACACCACAATTCGAGTAAGACTTTTGTTTAAGAGTAAGACATTTTGTTCAAGGGTTATACTGCATATGCACATCCTGTGTCCTTTCATCAACAAACTATTCACAGTTCCACATTGAATATCCCGTACTGCCATATTGAATTTGGAGGACGTCAGAAACACTAACTCACAATACAGAAACACATTAGTAGGAGACGACGACCTCCCTCGGGTGTGTTATTGTGTCCTGTGGCCAGTCTGTCCACTGCTCCCAGCAGAGTACAAGGCTGGGCAGCACAGATTTAATCTTTCTGTCTGGTGACAAAAGGACAGGGCAGGATTAATACAGTGGTCCCCATGGTGATGGTGCTGGTGATGCTGTATGTGTTCCTATTGGACAGATCTCTCTCTCTCTCTCTCTCTCTCTCTCTCTCTCTCTCTCTCTCTCTCTCTCCTCTCTCTCTCTCTCTCTCTCTCTCTCTCTCTCTCTCTCTCTCTCTCTCTCTCTCTCTCTCTCTCTCTCTCTCTCTCTCTCTCTCTCACACACACACACTCGCAAACACTCGCAAACACACACTCAAACACATACTCAAACTGGGGATCAGGAGGATGGGATGACAGACCCTAGCATGATGGACTTAGCCAGTCTGTTGTGATAATACAATATGACATACATGGCCAGGCGTGACGCGTGTCATCTTTCATGCTCGGCAGCATGGCAATGGCATTCTGCCATGCGTCGTCGTTTGTGTAGGCCCATCACAACAAACGCTTTAATAGTACCCAAAACTGTCTCTGTTGTCACACTGTGTAGGTCTCAACCAAGTGTGAGAGAAACTGGTTGAGTTATTGATGGTTGAGTACTTCAAATATTATATAAAATATAGACTCAGACTGTGCTGAGAATATTGTTTCCCACCTTCCTGTACTTCCTGTATTAGTGTATTGTATATGGAGCATTCTGAAGGCACAGAGGCACAGAATGTGTGGTACTGTATAAAGGCTAATGTTGATTGACAACTGCTGAGTTTTCAGAATTCAGGTTTTCCCAGTCAAGTAACTGAATACAAAGATGAATGCAACTCTCATAAATGTTGCATGTTTAGTTCAAATCCATTACCTGCATGTATTTTATTGGATATTTTATACCTCGCAATGGTTGACATTGCCCTCAACAACTCACAATCTTCTAATGGCTGTTTGAATGTGTGCTTGAGTTATAAGATAATTTACAACATCACAATTTCATGTCAAAACATTATTTGATGGAACTTGTATGTTTCGCAATAAACCTGGTGCACATAACCTGAAGAAAATGGTTTCCCACAAATGGTATTTAGTACGACAGGGACTTTCTTTGATCCTCCATGGTAAAACATTTAGTGCCATATGAACCCTACTGCTTGTGGAGAGAAAAAAAGTAACATTTTGTGTATCTGGCGGCAAGCGGTCGTCAGCGTGTGTCTTACACGCTCCCGTTCCCCCAGCACTAACCCCACAGGGTGCTAATGAAATATCTATTATGTTCCTCCAAATGTCTTTTCCGAGGCCCCGTGGCCCATTCCAACATGATATGTGTCGACATGTGACTTCACACTTGAGCCGGGATGGATGCCCTAGAAATGACAGTTGCTCAGAGAAGTCTGTGTTTGCTTATGGGTTGCAGAGGGACTGTAGCGGCTGCATTATTAATTAGATCCAGCAGATTAAGTGGTTCCCCTTTTAGGCGGTGAACGTCGTCTGCCTCATTTACTCAGGGAATATTTAGGATAAGCCACAGCGGCAGAACACAAAGTTAAATGTCATGCCTTCAGGTTTTAGTTCTGCACAACGACCAGCTAAGCAAACCTTTGAGACATAATGAAGGAGTCAAAGCACAGTTTTACCTGGTCTCTCTGTATCATTGTAATTCGCATGAATGTGTTCCGTTTATACTTGCAGTTGGGGTTGTGTATAGTCATGAAGGTTCAGGTTGCATTACATTGGAGGAAGTCAATTTGTAATGCCATTTTAAGGTCAACCATTCAACATGGTTTCCATCTGGTAGTTTAAGTGAACCTACCTATCATACCAAAATGCCTCTGTGAATGAGGCTTAGTGAATGGTTTTAACCACACAGAGAGACTGACACCAAAGCCTTGTGTTTGGTTATATTGACTGAGGCACACACTACAATTGAAACACCATACCCTTATCCTCCAGATGGCTCAAAGCTCAATCCTTTATTTCACTTTAATATATCTCCCATTTACCACCCTATCTATCCCCTCTTTTTGTGGGAGCACAAATCGGCTTCTCTAAATGCTTCTCTAACAGTAACAACGAGGCCCCAATCCCAGCCATCTAAAGCTAAACAAGATAATCTATTTTTCTCGCCTTTCTCTCTCTCTTTTCATCCCTCTCTTCTGAAGGACCTCATGGCTATCGACCTGGAGCCCTACCGTTTCTGTGGCGTCAACATGACTGGCTTCCGCATCCTCAACGTGGACAACCCTCAGGTGGCGTCCATCGTGGAGAAGTGGTCCCAAGAGAGGCAGATACCTCCCAAGCCCGACTCGGGCCTCCTGGAGGGGATCATGACGGTATGTTTTTGGTCTTCTGTTGTGGACCTCTGATTCTGATAGTATGCTAAAATCAGCATGAAAGACACTTTAAAAATCATATTGATATCTATATACCCTGTGTCTTTCACCAGCCCTGCTCTCAACATTTTTACCAACAGATCTAGGACATGGCCTATGTATGATAACTACTACTACTACCACCACTACTACTACTAATCATTCCGAACTCTCATTGGTGTCAAGCAATTTTTTTAGCTTGTATTCTTTTGAATGTAACAACATAAATTGAGGTATTTAGAGTACTATATAGCTAGGGAACATTGAACAGAACAAGGCTATGTCAATAATTACATTTTGAAAAAAAATGCAGATAGAACATTATAGTCTCAAGCTCTAGTAACAGTATTACCACTATATTACTACTATTAAGTATTAACACTATATTACTACTATTAGTAACAGTATTACCACTATATTACTACTATTAGCAACAGTATTACCACTATATTACTACTATTAGTAACATTATTACCACTATATTACTACTATTAGTAACAGTATTACTACTATATTACTACTATTAATAACAGTATTACTACTATAGTACTACATAGCAAACAGTAATACTACTAATTACATAAGTAACAGTATTACTACTACTTATACTATAGCTAGAAGAACAGTATTACCACATATGTATACTAATAGCAACAACAGTTTAACCACTATTTACTACTATAGTAACAGATTTACCAGTATATATACTATAAACAGTATTACTACTAATACTACTACTGCTACGTACCACCAATGATGCTAATAATAATGACAATGGTGATACTTTTGTAACATAATGTCAGATAAGAAGCACTTGGAAGCAGGATGGTCACAGTCTACTAAATTCTGAACTAATTCATTCAATGTATTCAGGGGAGCTCATAATCATTCAAATCCCATCACAATGGTCTAAATCCAATAATCACAAATCCCATCCCTGATATTCCAATAAAGCCCCCTTTTACGCTCTAACTTAATAAGCGAGCGTAGCTAATGGAAGATAAAGAGTTATACATGCATGTGGTATATTCAATATGAATATTATATTGTTGAAATCACTCGTTGTTTGTTTATCTATTAATGGATTTGACTGGGGTTCAGATACACCCACACGGCACTCTCACAGGTCTCATTATTTCTGTATGGAGAAGGAGGGGTTTTATGGAAAGGAGTGCGCTCTCTCCGTGTAGTACTCACTTTTAATTGCTCCCGGAACTCCGTATGAGATAAAATCTAGGTGATACAAACATCAAGGTAGGCTGCCTTTAATTTGGTCTTACTCGCCTGGAAAGCTTCATATCCATATTTACAAAAGGAATTGAGCTCACTTTCTCGGGGCATGCTATCTGGAAAATAAGAAAAATCTGAGCGCTTTGATTTCCCTTTGTTAGCTTAGCTTTTTCTCAAACACTTTTGCTGCTACTGGTGCTGAGGGAAGTGGACTCCCATTGTCCACAGCCGTCAGCTGAAATAATGTCCCCCTTTATTCCAGACAGATGCTGCTCTGACGTACGACGCGGTCCACATCGTGTCCATCTCCTACCAGCACGCACCACAGATGACGGTCAACTCGCTGCAATGTCCACCGCCACAAACCCTGGCGGTTCGGCGGGCGCTTCATGAACTTCATCAAAGAGGTGATGCTGAGCGTCTTGTTTTCATCTGATGTTGATGTTTGAATTGTTGTCAGACAAAACTCTGACAACTGACGACTTCCTAATATGGATGCTGTACTAATTGTCTCTGAAACCATTTAATAAATGCAATTACAATTGGAGAAGAAGGAAACATTGTGTAATCATGGCACATACATTTTTACAGACAAAGGCAATGTTATCTTGATAAATCTCTTTGTGATGAGGTGGTGTTGAAGGAGTCAGGCGCAGGAGGGTAAATCACAGAATAACAGGCTTTAATCCGCAAAATACAGGTTTACGCAGAAATGCGTCAAACACACTCCTGGGCACAAAACAGGTGCACTGGAAAATATAAGGCACACAGGAAAATACTCCCGTCGATACAAAATACACGAGCTCCACCGAGCTTCACTAACCTCCACAATAAACAATCACCCACAAGGACAAGGGGGCAGAGGGAACACTTATACACTGACTAATTAGGGGATTAGAACCAGGTGTGTGTGATTGACAAGACAAGACAAATGTGATGATGATAATTGGGGTGGCAGTGGTTAGTACTCCGGTGACGACGAACGCCGAAGCCTGCCTGAACAAGGAGGGGAGGCAGCCTCGGCCGAAGTCGTGACACTCTTATTCATGAACGGTGTCTCACAGTAATCAACTACTCTAAGCTGTGTTAAAGTAATCTCTCCAGCTAAATTCCCTGTATTCATATCCTATTTACAGATGGCAAAACTCACAGTGAGTCATTGTGTCCTATTTATACTGAAAAGGGAAACTGGTGCGCCCTTCTGTGCACTCTGCTCACAATAAGACTGTTTGAAACAGGCAAATCGTATAATCAGCTCTTGTTTCATTTCACAAGAGAGTGTGTGATGACTGTGACTCAGAATAGTCAGATTAAGGCTGTAGAACATGATGCCATGGTGCCACGGCGCCCAGTGTACTGAACATCACAAGGCCAGAGCCTGGAGTATCAGTGAGGGGAATGTCTTAGCTCCATAGCTCCATCAGTAGCTCCATCATTGCCAGGGGTAACAGACACCTCTCTGTGAGCGCGGAGAAACAGGAGGAGGGCTCTGGTGGGAGGGAGAGAGGGAAGGGGGGGGGGGGCATATCTGGATCATAATGATGGGCAGTTATGTGTTTTTTTCTCCCTTGTGTGGAATCAAGCGAAGGAGATTGTCTTTAATTAACACTGTGGTCTGGGGGAAAATGTGTCTGAGGCGTTGGGATGTAAAATGTAATTAAAAAGGAAATGCAGCCCAGTGTGTGTGTGTGTGTGTGCCTTTCCGCCATGGTGTGTGCAAGCATGTGTGTGTTTTTACATGTGTACATGCTTTAATGAATGAGTGTTAATGTGTGGTTGTGTGTGTGTTTCTCTGCAGTCTCACTGGGAAGGACTGACGGGGAGGCTGTCATTCAACAGGACCAGTGGCCTCCGCACAGACTTTGACCTGGACATCATCAGCCTGAAAGAGGAGGGCCTGGAGAAGGTAACACACCTCATTCTGACACACCTCATTCTGACCACAATGACTTCAACTATCAAACTAACCACACCTTAAAGAAGTGTAGTGTTACATAATAGTTTAGGTTTTCACTCAGTCTGAGGACATGAATGGAAATGTAAAATCCATGCTTATTTTAGGAGCACAACAATAAGACCATACCCTGGTGAGTTAATATTTTACACATACAAAGGTTTATTTATACCCTCCACAATACACTATACTCTCTTTTTCTCTTAGGACTTAACATTTGTTTTGCAAATCCCCTGTTAAATCGTCTAGAGAAAAATCTGAAATCCATTCCAGTTTTCTTCTTTAATATGGAACAAATAATGCACAACGGTCTCCATTTGACAGTATCGTTTACCTCCTAACAAGGAAGCCAATGGGCTGTTCAAACATAAGCATACGTTAATGGATCATAAAGTCAATTGGATGAGGGTAGACATTAAAGTGTTAATTGCAAGTCTCTAATGGTAATTCGAGTTGTTGCCCGAAATGCTGTTTGCTAATGAGGTGTATAAACCTCACTGATTTACCCACAAAAGGAAGTCAAAAGTTGGTAATGAAGGAGGAGAATAATAACTTCCTGTGTTATTTTAAAAGGCAGAATAGCACCCTGCGGACTATAACGGCTTTGTGGTGATATGGGTTTTCATACATTATGGAAACATAAACTCAAGATAAGTGCCATTATGACTTCCTCAAGCACTCCCGTATGGCAGAGCCGGTTTGAGCCTGTATAATAGCTAGGACATGTCAGCTCAGAATATCACTGCAGCTCCAGGCTGGAACAACCACAATACGCCAAACTATTTCCGTATCTCATTTTTCTGCTGTGCTGGGTCTGCTCCTGTGTTTGCACATCTCTGAGGCTGAGTAGTGTGCTAAAACCAGCATGAAAGACACTTTAAAAAACAATATGTGTGGATAGCTACAGTGAGGGACAAAAGTATTTGATCCCCTGTTGATTTTGTACGTTTGCCCACTGACAAATAAATGATCAGTCTATAATTTTAATGGTAGGTTTATTTGAACAGTGAGAGACAGAATAACAACAAAGAAATCCAGAAAAACGCATGTCAAAAATGTTATAAATTGATTTGCATTTTAATGAGGGAAATACGTTTTTGACCCCTCTGCAAAACATGACTTAGTACTTGGTGGCAAAACCCTTGTTGGCAATCACAGAGGTCAGACGTTTCTTGTAGTTGGCCACCAGGTTTGCACACATCTCAGGAGGGATTTTGTCCCACTCCTCTTTGCAGATCTTCTCCAAGTCATTAAGGTTTTGAGGCTGAAGTTTGGCAACTCGAACCTTCAGCTCCCTCCACAGATTTTCTATGGGATTAAGGTCTGGTGACTGGCTAGGCCACTCCAGGACCTTAATGTGCTTCTTCTTGAGCCACTCCTTTGTTGCCTTGGCCGTGTGTTTTGGGTCATTGTCATGCTGGAATACCCATCCACGACCCATTTTCAATGCCCTGGCTGAGGGAAGGAGGTTCTCACCCAAGATTTGGCGGTACATGGCCCCATCCATTGTCCCTTTGATGCAGTGAAGTTGTCCTGTCCCCTTAGCAGAAAAACACCCCCAAAGCATAATGTTTCCACCTCCATGTTTGACGGTGGGGATGGTGTTCTTGGGGTCATAGGCAGCATTCCTCCTCCTCCAAACACGGCGAGTTGAGTTGATGCCAAAGAGCTCTATTTTGGTCTCATCTGACCACAACACTTTCACCCAGTTCTCCTCTGAATCATTCAGATGTTCATTGGCAAACTTCAGACGGCATGTATATGTGCTTTCTTGAGCAGGGGGACCTTGCGGGCGCTGCAGGATTTCAGTCCTTCACGGCGTAGTGTGTTACCAATTGTTTTCTTGGTGACTATGGTCCCAGCTGCCTTGAGATCATTGACAAGATCCTCCCGTGTAGTTCTGGGCTGATTCCTCACCGTTCTCATGATCATTGCAACTCCACAAGGTGAGATCTTGTATGGAGCCCAAGGCCGAGGGAGATTGACAGTTATTTTGTGTTTCTTCCATTTGCGAATAATCGCACCAACTGTTGTCACCTTCTCACCAAGCTGCTTGGCGATGGTCTTGTAGCCCATTCCAGCCTTGTGTAGGTCTACAATATTGTCCATGACATCCTTGGAGAGCTCTTTGGTCTTGGCCATGATGGAGAGTTTGGAATCTGATTGATTGATTGCTTCTGTGGACAGGTGTCTTTTATACAGGTAACAAGCTGAGATTAGGAGCACTCCCTTTAAGAGTGTGCTCCTAATCTCAGCTCGTTACCTGTATAAAAGACACCTGGGAGCCAGAAATCTTTCTGATTGAGAGGGGGTCAAATACCTATTTCCCTCATTAAAATGCAAATCAATTTATAAAATGTTTGACATGCGTTTTTCTGGATTTTTTTGTTGTTATTCTGTCTCTCACTGTTCAAATAAACCTACCATTAAAATTATAGACTGATCATTTCTTTGTCAGTGGGCAAACGTACAAAATCAGCAGGGGATCAAATACTTTTTTCCCTCACTGTATATAGGCCTACTGTGTGTTTTTCTCCATCCTTGGTCTCAAACATGTTACATATCACATAGTACTCAATGGATTGCAGGATTTTGTCTCTTTATATCCGTGGAATCGGCTTTAGCTAACTGTTCGAGCCTGTAAAGATAGGGACTTTTTAGGCCTAATCTGCCCTAATTGAATATTAGCCCGAGTTTGAGCTGAGACTGGAATTAGGAAAGGTTTCCAGTCAGAGTGGCAAATTCACTGACATATAAAAGAGGAGTTGCACGAGTAAATCACTTTTGAATTGGTTCTTTGGCTATACACATTTAATGAATTGAGTTAATTGGCCACAATTAGTAAGACTGGGCTGGCATGCAGAGTGGAAGACATGGATATTTTTTTAAGCAGATCTTCTCTTCAGTTGCGTAGTCCTTTTTTTTGGACTGTTTCACACAAGCTGTAACTAATATGTTTTTCAAATTCAAGCATATGCTCCTCAGTGGGTCAGACAGAAGGACTTTATCAGGTGTTTTTCACGCTGGCTGCAATGCAGCGTGTTTGTGTACCTTTAAACGGATCCACCTCAAGTGCCAGCCAGCCCTGTGAATATTAAATGGCACTTTGGTAGTTACGCAGAAGGAGAACGAGAGGAGGATGGGGGGAGGAGAGTAGGGATAGCAAATGACTGCGAACTCGACTTGCAAAATTAGATCGTTACCGACAGCCTACAGGACTGACTATATTATGATAATGATATGTTCCAGAGTTGTCACGACAGTATGGAATGGGCTTTTTTTTGCCCGGAGGGCACTACTCGTGTGCAACTCCTTTTATTTGCTCTAATCTTTTTGTATTTATCTTAGTGAGATTACTCAGAGCAGAACTTCTCTGCCAGCATTATCAAGCTTTTATATTTCCATTGCCGACAACCCCATGCTGGGCTTTCTTTTCCAAATTAATTGTAGCATTTGTGTTTTGCTACATTCCTAAGGGCACAAAACTGCAAAGATACCAGACCTGAAATAGCCATATGATAATCACGCTAGGATGCATATCTAGTTTGCTATTTTTAATGCTCTGGTTTCTGTACGTGTTTTAACCACCGAAAGGAGGAGATTATGAAGCCTAAATGGAAGTCTAAATGGAAGACATTGATCAAGAAATTGTATTTGATTGCTCTCCCACTTTTTCTCTGTCATGGTCACACACATACTACACAGAAACTAACAACCTATCCTCTTTTCCTGCATTCAGAAAAGTGCTCCAATTACCTATTGTGTGTATGTAATAAGAGAAGAGTTGCAAGTGAAAATAATGTTTGTTGTAGTAGTGTAGGAGTGGAACAAGGCTGTGCTCTCTCTTCATTTCAACAATTCATAAGCTATGATATTCATAAGGTATTGGTATTTTTAGAACAAGGCCAACAGAGGGGGTGACAGGTGACAGTTTGGAGAATCTGACATCTTTTGATACGGAAAGTTGCAGAACACAACACAATGTTTTTGTGTTAATCTTAGAGACTACTACTGAAACATATTGTTTAAATTCGATTACATTTGAGAAAAAAATCAACTTTTTGCATATTATTTATGTTCCAAACATAACACCAGGATGAAGTGAAACATATCCATCATAATTCCATAATTCCCAACAGAACGATTTGCCTTCTTAGACTTCTCTCTCCTACAATGTCAATTCTTTTAGAGCCTGCCTCCACATCCCACCACTTCCTCTTTGCACAACCTCTCCCAATAACCTCATGGCGTATAGTGTGTCCAGAGGTGACACAGCCAATCAGCTAATGGATATGTGTCCCGGTGGGCGCTAATGCAGCATGGTGGGCTTGTGGGAAGTCGGGGTCACGAGTTGCCGCAGTAGAGAGGTGAAGTCGAACACTTACACGCTTTTCATCTTCCCGCAGGTGGGGAAGTGGAGTGCGTCCGGAGGTCTCAACATCACCGAGGTCCCCAAGCGGAAAGGGGTGAACATCACCGACTCGCTGGCCAACCGTTCCCTGGTCATCACCACCATACTGGTAGGTCAGCTGACTTTGATCAGCCCTTCCTGAAATACCTCTCATGAGATGGTCGTTTATACACTACCAGTCAAAAGTTTGGACACACCTACTCATTCAAGGGTTTTTCTTTATTTTTACTATTTTTTACAAAGTAGAATAATAGTGAACTTCAAAACTATGAAATAACACATATTGAATCATGTAGTAACCAAAAAAGTGTGAGAGAGAGTCTTTTACAGGGATTGGCTGAGAAAACAATTTTCCCTTGCGAGTTACAGTTGAAGTCGGAAGTTTACATACACTTAGGTTGGAGTCATTAAAACTCGTTTTCAACAAACTATAGTTTTGCCAAGTGCATGACACAAGTAATTTTTCCAACAATTGTTTACAGACAGATTATTTTACTTATAATTAAATGTATCACATTTCCGGTGGGTCAGAAGTTTACATACACTAAGTTGACTGTGCCTTTAAACAGCTTGGAAAATTCCTGAAAATTATATCATGGCTTTAGAAACTTCTGCTAGGCTAATTGACATAATTTGAGTCAATTGGAAGTGTACCTGTGGATGTATTTCAAGGCCTACCTTCAACCTCAGTGCCTCTTTGCTTGACATCATGGGAAAATCAAAAGAAATCAGCCAAGACCTCAGAAAAAAATATTGTAGACCTCCACAAGTCTGGTTCATCCTTGGGAGCAATTTCCAAATGCCTGAAGGTACCACGTTCATCTGTACAAACAATAGTACACAAGTATAAACACCATGGGACCACGCAGCCGTCATACCGCTCAGGAAGGAGACGCGTTCTGTCTCCTAGAGATGAACGTACTTTGGTGCGAAAAGTACTAATTAATCCCAGAACAACAGCAAAGGACCTTGTGAAGATGCTGGAGGAAACAGGTACAAAAGTATCTATATCCACAGTAAAACGAGTCCTATATCGACATAACCTGAAAGGCCGCTCAGCAAGGAAGAAGCCACTGCTCCAAAACCGCCATAAAAAAGCCAGACTACGGTTTGCAACTGCACATGGGGACAAAGATGGTACTTTTTGGAGAAATGTCCTCTGGTCTGATGAAACAAAAATATAACTGTTTGGCCCTAATCACCATCGTTATGTTTGGAGGAAAAGGGGGAAGGATTGCAAGCCGAAGAACACCTTCCCAACCGTGAAGCACGGGTTGGCAGCATCATGCTGTGGGGGTGCTTTGCTGCAGGAGGGACTGGTGCACTTCACAAAATAGATGGCATCATGAGGAAGGAAAATTGTGGATATTTTGAAGCAACATCTCAAGACATCAGTCAGGAAGTTAAAGCTTGGTCACAAATGGGTCTTCCAAATGGACAATGACCCCAAGCATACTTCCAAAGTTGTGGCAAAATGGCTTAAGTACAACAAAGTGAAGGTATTGGAGTGGCCATCACAAAGCCCTGACCTCAATCCTATAGAAAATGTGTGGGCAGAACTGAAAAAGCGTGTGCGTGCAAGGAGGCCGACAAACCTGACTCAGTTACACCAGCTCTGTCAGAAGGAATGGGCCAAAATTCACCCAACTTATTGTGGGAAGCTTGTGGAAGGCTACCCGAAACATTTGACCCAAGTTAATCAATTTAAAGGCAATGCTACCAAATACTAATTGAGTGTATGTAAACTTCTGACTCACTGGGAATGTGATGAAATAAATAAAAGCTGAAATAAATCATTCTCTCTACTATTATTCTGACATTTCACATTCTTAAAATAAAGTGGTGATCCTAACTGACCTAAGACAGGGCATTTTTACTAGGATTAAATGTCAGGAATTGTGAAAAACAGAGTTTAAATGTATTTGGCTAAGGTGTATGTAAACTTCCGACTTCAACTGTATGTATAATTTACATTTGGCAAAATAACATACACTACATCTCCTTTTAACATGGTCCACGTTAGAAGGTTGAAAAAACATTTTTGGCCTTGAGGCCCTCTCTGCTACCACCACTCCGACCGGGAAATCAGAGATATCTGTCAAATTAATCACAGTGAATTAACCAAACACCACCTGGAATTTACCTCGCCAATTTGAATCCAGGTTGGATTGTAAAAGGATGTACTGTAGATCATCATTATGTCACATTAAGATCACAGTGGGGATGTGAGGCATTTGCAGTGCAAGGAGCCCATAGAGAAGAAGACATGGAGCCACAATGGACCAGTCTATAAATATCCATTAATTACATGTTAGGAAATAAACAGGTTCTCTCCCACCAACTCTCCACATTCATTTGCAGATCGTCTATTGTGTATATTTAAGCCTGTCAACTGGGAGGTTAGAGGGTCTTTGTGGCGCTATCACCGAGGTGCTGACAATGAACATCCCCCACAAGCTTATTCTGGACGGACACACAAGTTATCAAAAATGATAAACACTCTCATTAAGTCTGGATTGGAGCGCAAGGCTGTAATTATGACCGAGTGAGGTTTAGAAGAGATATAATCAGTGCCTTCTGGTGCCAACCATGGGGAGTAGCAACTTCAATCACAAAGACAAGAAATAGAACCATAAAACAGGTGGTGTTTAGAGCTGCACCCAAAAATAAATACACAAAATAATATGATTTAGGGTCAGTTTCTTTGAGCCAGATTAAGCCTATTCCTGGACTAAAAAACACTTCCAATGGAAATTCCCCATTGGACATGCTTTACAATCCAGGAGTAGGGTTTAGGTCCAAACCAGGCACCTGCATGGATCACCTGCATCTTTTGACAGTGTGCGATGGTTTAGGAGTATTTTAGGAATCAACACTTTTAGATTGTAAAAGCAGATTTAGAATTGAGCATCAGCGGTACTAATATCAGTGTCTGTGTTTTCTCCATTCTGAGCTTAATGACATTGCATCAAACTGATCTCAGCGATCCGCAATAAGACGTCTGACAGTTTTATGGTGATAACTTCTCGTATTCTACAAAGAGATTAAGATATTTAATGCGTTTCCCAGCTCTCACATTAATTGTTTTCACTCCATTGCCTGTAACTGTGTCTGCATATCTCCTTCCCCGTTCTCTTATGTACACCCATGCTGCGCTAGAGAGTGTGAAACTGGTTTAAACACTTTGATTTGAGTCCAAACCTTGGGGAATTTAAAGAGTTGGGAAGGCTAGAAACAGATGGTAATGACTTTTTTCTACCCCCCTCAACACGCAAACTTTTTGATAAAGATAATTGGATGACTTGAACAAAGTTTTCCTCTAAGCTCTTGCTTTCTATCTAAATGCATTATAATCAAGTATTCCTTAGTTATCATTTATTTAAAGGGACGTCCTAATTGCGAACGGACAACTAGCTACATATTAAGATTGCAACCAATTATTTATTTGAAAAATGTCTGTCCCTGAGATGGTATTTTGGGTGTAGAAAAGGACACCCCTTCAAGGCATTTACCATCAAGGCAACACGATTCGAAACAACAGTCAAATTGATTTCCATATTTCGCCACAGCATTATTATAATATACATCAATCACTTTCTTGGGTAAACCGTGTTATGACTGGTTATTTCCCCCTCTTTAACGGCTTTTCTAGCAGCTTTGTGTCACACAAAGACGTGGCCGATGGGAATACAAAAGCAGAGGTCACCTTGACTGGAGAATCAATTACTCTACTTATGAACAGACTTTATGAATTGTATGTCTGGCCATCGGAAGCAATAAATAAATTGCCCATGAGGAAGTGGACCACCATGTCTTTAAAAAATGCACAGCGGGATATGTGTTGGGCCCTATTTTGCAGACAGATAGTGGCAGACACTAAATAAAGGAACATATCGAGCCATCCGCCATCCTTTCTTTGAGATTTTAGCCATTGTTCATGCAGGCAATAGGCATCACCTTGGTTACTCTGCCTTGTGAGACCAGTGACGATAGAGACAACAACATTGCAGGCATGTTCCTTTTCATTGCAGCATTCTGTTCCTAATCAAGCTTTTATTCAACCTGATATTATGTGGAGCCAGGGAGAATATTACAGGGCAGTAAAGACCGCTGGCTCTCTGACCATAAACTGCATTGCACTGTAGTATACAATGTCTACAAGGGGCAGTGGGCAGGGATGTGGGAGGGGGAATGGCCAGGGAGGGTTGGCTGGCTGCAGAGGTTATTTTGGAGTGCCTAGATTCCCCATCTATTGTATAGCAAAGAGACTTCCCATTGTGTGCTGTACATTTCTCAGATTGCACAGCACAGCATAGCCGCCACTTAAATCAGTTAGATTTTCCTGTCGACATACATTCTGTTAATGCAAGGAAAACCATTGCACTCGTCCATATTTAAACATACAGTGTAGCTAACCACACATTGGACTGGAGTCTCCCTGTCGCTCCCTGTTAGACGGAACAAGGACTTATCAGCCCAGATCACTTTGCCTCAATTAGGTGCATGTGCTGAAGAACAAATGGAAAAAGCTGACCTCAACGCTGGTTTCCATTTGATTTTTTGTGTCTGTGCAGGAGGAGCCATATGTCATGCTTAAGAAGTCTGACAAGGCGCTGGTGGCCAATGACCGTTTCGAGGGATTCTGTATCGACCTGCTCAAGGAGCTGGCCAGCATCCTGGGCTTCACCTACGAGATCCGTCTGGTGCCTGATGGGCGGTACGGATCGCAGGACGACAAGGGCCAGTGGAACGGCATGATCAAGGAGCTGATGGAACACGTGAGTTGGACTACAAGTTACCTTTTGACTGTTACTACTACTGTCTACTATTGCTTATAGCCAGTGCTCAACATTGTACATTATTAGATGTTTTGACTACAGATTCAATAAGTTACCTCTGAGACAAACCCGTTTCAAATAATTTGTCTTGTTTGTTGGGACCCTGTTTTTGTCTGTTAGGATCTGGTTTGAAACTTATCACAATCAAAATTAATGTGTTGTTTTACGACAAATATATTTAAGACATACTATGAAGAATAAAAGTATAGCATTTTGCCTGGAAAAATACACAGTGCTACCATTGAGGACAACACCAACAACAATATCACCTACAGTGTGCGAAAGAAACATATTGAAGTTGGTTTTGAAAGCATCAAATGAAAGCATCAAAGGTTGTTAAAATATAGCTGACATTGACAACAAGGACAGTGCCCTGCTGGCATTTTCAGAGTGTCCCTCCCCATCGCCCTCTCCCTGTCCTCAGCCCCCCTGGTCAACGATGTGCTCGGCTGAAAAAGTTGTAATAGCTTAAGTGGCATTTAGAGGGCGGGAGTCGGACGGTACGTGTCAATGGCTAGGTGCTGAAAGGGTTAGTAAAGTTGGGCTAGCGCCGCAGCACTTAATCTCTACCTTAGCCAGATCCAGCTTTTATCAGATCCAGGTTGATATCAGTAACCTTGAGGGGGAACTAAGAGATTATGGCAGGAAATGTTGCTTATAGAATTACAAGCTTTCTTCATAATGAACAGTAAACATAGGATAGCATGTATGTTATTATATCTTACTCTTTCCTATTATTATTATTATTATTATTAGTATTATTATTATTATTGTTATGTTATTATTACTGTATTCTGCATTGTTGGAAGGGCCTGTAAGTAAGCATTTCACTGTTAGTCTACACCTGTTGTTTACGACGCATGTGACAATTAAAATTTGATTTGATTTGACAGAGGTTAATGTTACCAATAGCCACTATCTAGACAGTAGCCTGGATATACACACTGATTTCAGCTTTTCACTTTTGTTTTAAGGGAAACAATGTGATTCACTCTGGGTTTCAAAACTATCTAGACAGTAGAGCACATTTGAAAACAACAACCAGTTTCAGAGCACCTGTATCTATCTCCATTCATATATCCCATGCTGTGAAATGTACTTTGTACTGTACTCAGTGCACTCCAACACATTTGCCCCTTATAGCGTGTTATGGGCAACACATACTTAGTACAATGCAGATGAATTCAAGCCCTGTGGTCCTCCATTTTGTGTTTTATGGTTTGAGTTCACTCTCAGAAGTTCCTCACAGTTAAATAGTTGGCTGAAGAGGTCTCTGTGCCCAGTAATTCCTATACACTTATCTTGGCTTTGGTAGAACTGAGAATGCTACCTGATCTTTGTACAGTTCTACTGTATTTGGGTCTATATTGCTTCCATGAGAGTAATGTCAGCTGATAGTAGAGGAATCAAGAACACCAATGTTACATTGAGATATTACGTACTGTAGGTCTATCCTCATCATGGTTGTATAATACAGTAATATAGGATTAGATTTAGATCTAGTATGTTTCCCTACACAGTCTGTAAAGGGTAAGTGCGCTATAGACTGTCTCCATGTGCTACAGCTCTTTATTTGAATGGCCTACACTGCATCACCACTGCTATATGGATTTATTTAGCTGGTTCTATTTTGTGGCTCAGAGCTTTTCTTCCTCCTGTCTATACTGATAAGCTGATCTTGAATCAGCAGACCTGAAAGTCAACTTTGGAACCAGCTCAAGAGAACTGACCTGGGATTGCCACAATAAGCTTGGATGGATATTGGTTTCCATACAAGTAAACCAACAACCTTATCCCTAAGTATTGGAATCATGGCTGTGGTGCTGTATTCTGTTTATCCCAAACCAGAATCACCATGCGTCATTGGCTAATGTGTTGGCAGGTTTGACATCCAATGGAAGTCATGGATATGTTTCTAGGATGCTTTTATGCAAATTAACAATGGAATGAGCTCAGATGACACTGACAGCCAACAAATCTTTCTGAAAACCAAACAAAAATAGTACACAGGGAATGGGGGGGGGTATTTATTAATGGACACTGGTAACGTTATTATCTGTTAAATGTATTTCCATCAGATATTTATTAACCCCTAAAAAAATGTTTTGTTGGGATGACCATGCTACATTACAACGCTGCCGTGTACTAGTGACAACTCACCCAACGGGTCACCTAGTTAGATAAATTCATCGGTTTAAGGAAGACGACAAGCAAAACAAAGCCGTCTGGTTGTTTTTAGCTGATTCATCCTGTCAGCCCACAATCTCACATAAATCATAGTTTCATTACTCAATGGTGCAGTACTCGTGTGGGTTTATTAAAAGCAGTTGTAAGCCTTCATTCATCTTTGTAGGTCACCGAGCCCTGTCAAACAAAAAAGCAAATGTGGAATGACAAAAATAAAGTATTTGTTGGTATGTCTGATGTCAACTGATGTCAACATGTAGGAAGGAGTGAAAAACTAAAAACATGCATGTAGCTGGGTTAGTGTTTTTATATACATTTCCTGAGATTGTACTATTGAATAAACAAATAATTAAGTATTGCAGTGTGTCTCACCCACAAGTCCAACTTTGTGTGCATCACGTGAATATCTTGTGTATGTGCATAATATACATGATTAATTGGCCATTGTGTAAATACAAATGGGATAAATCTTGAATGAGAAAGAGTGTGTGTGTTGTGGCTAATTAAATACAAAAAGCCTTTTCGTGCCCATGTAGCATAGCGGCCTTTATTTTCCTCAGAGTCGTCAAAGCCCACTACAAAGCCAAAGGGCATTGTGGGAAAGGCGCTAAATTATGCAACAGGTCATGTTAAACTTGATTTAGTCACAATAGATGATCCAATTAATCATGATGTTGATGCCAGTATTAATAGCTGGCTTAACACATCATTTGTTTCTGTCGGGGCAAATAATCTCTTGCTCCGACAGATACACATGAAGGTTATGGCAAGACCACGGCACGCCACGGCAAGCCACGCATCTCATTGTCTACATGTAGCGACAGCAGACTGGATTTGGGACCTTGGCAAGAAATTGGATTGAAAAAGGGGCTTTATTTGCAATCCTAGACATGTACATGCACGTGGGGTCTCTATCTGAGGGTTGCAGACCTGATTGGTTTTACAGTGGAACGTGAAGGTGGTTTTGACTACTGAGGGCAGGATAGTGGTCAGAGCTGTCATTTTGACGGACAGGCAGCATGACTTTCAATTGCGTCAACAATCACAGCAACATTATTCTGCTACATTATAGTGTTTTTGTGCTTTAAAAACTCTACCTGAAGGATAGGATGATGTTATAGCAATCCTTTCATTTCAAGAAGGACGTACTGTAGAGTCAGACGATGGAATTACCAGACCAACATTTCTATAGTCGTATATGCAAATTGAAACAGTGGTGGACAATGAGGCAGTTGGAGCACTGTATGCAAATCTTTGTAAAACAATCATCGAGTTAAGAGGTACAGGAAATGTGGTGAACTGTGTCATTTGTGAGGCAAATGTGCTCAGGCGCTGTCCGAGATTATCATTCAATAAACCTATAAGACTAAATAATCAAGCCCCACAAATGTGAAAAACCAATAAATGTCAAGGGACTGCAAGTAACACAGATTGTTATAGATTGTTACAGTTAACCTCTGCTGGGAGTGTTGAGCTAGGTGTAATTGTATGAATCCTACAGAATGTAATCAGGTGTGGTAGTATGGAGGTAGCACAGTGCGAAGTTTACAATACCATCTGCGCGCCCACAGATAACACAGAGCCATGTGGCACTCAGCAGTGTACTGTCAGGTTATCACACGTGTGCCCGGCAATACGTGTCTAAGCAGAAAATAGCCGTGCGGCGTGTATATTAGCCCACCATAGGGATGGCTGAGATTGGCTGGGATCACCTGCTGCTAGGTCTTCCGGTTGAGTGGCAGCTAGCTTGAAAAGCGGCGGTCGGCAGCAGAGAACAGAGGAAGCGGGTGTGTGTTGTAAACGTAAATGTTTAATGAGGGCACAGTTGATTGCACCACATGACAGATTGGCTGTGCCCACACTGTCTCTCTTTGGTAGGCTGTCCATACATTGCAAATGACAATTATTTGGGAGGGAAATCAATTTAAACTATGTATTTGATTGTCCTAATAATAATGTTGGGTTGGGTGGTACTTGTCATACAAATCAGCTACATTTGTTCCTTGGAATACTTGTGACCTTATAGGGAGCAGGATTCTGCTAATTCAGACCTTCATATGATATACAGGACTAGACATCCTCCACATTTGCCAATGTACACACCAATACCTAATTGAACTGACCTCCATCAGAGATGTTCTGGTACTAGCATACTGAGCGCTGTTTCTTTGCCACCACTCAAAAAGGAAGAAAAAGAGTGACCCAAACCCCTTTGTGAGTTTCCTTCGTTTCCGAGGAAGGGATCTATCCAAGCGTGAACCAAGCAGCTGGTTTCATTAACCTCCTGTCCAACCCTGACGTGTGGGAGGTGTGGGGGGAGTCAATGTAAATGGTGACCTTCTGAATATGCAGCCAGACGCAAAATCGGGCGCCGCAACGTTCACCGTCAGACCCTGCCATGTCCATGGCTCCCAGGGCAGTATCTCATAGAGCTATATTAGGCTAGTCAGAAGGCACCAGGCTCCAGATAGTGGAGGCATGGGGAGAAGCTGTTTGGAAAGCATGTGGGAATGGCCATTGTTTCTTGTGATTCATTGGGGCAGGTGTTCGTTGTTTCTTATGTAGAGAGCGGGAAAAAAGATTAGAGAAAAATTGGAGAGAGGGGAAGTACAGTAATCCCTCGTTTATCGCGGGGGTTACGTTCCGAAAATGACCCGCGATAAGTGAAATCCGCGAAATAGAAAACTTTTTTTTTTTACAATTAGCAACTATTACATGTATAACAAATACAGTGACTCACGTGTAGGCCGTTTCACTGCTCTTCAGACTGGGCCGCTGCATCCTGACTGCGCTCTGCAGTGTTCTCTTCTTCTGAAGGCCGCGGTGCAGGTGTGTTTGTTCGGGAGAAGAACATAGTGATAGGCAGCTGTTGTCGCTCTTTTTTCTTCTTTGCAAAAAGATCCTTGTACACCGACATGCCACCATCGATTACGTTGGAGAACTGTAATGAACGGCTCATCAAAGGGTCCCATTCCTCAGCTACTCGCTTAAGTTCAGTGGCCATTCGCACCATGGTTGCTAAGCGACCAAGCGTTAGTCCTTCCTCCTCATCTCTCGTGTCCTCTTCTCCCTCTTCTCTTTCATCGTCGCTTTGTGGCTTTGTCATTTACCTTCCCTTAGCATGTCCAGAAGTTTAACTTTATCTGAGATAGGTAGCATCTTCCGCCGTTTGGGCCCATCCGCAGGTGCTTTTGTCGGTCCAGGCCGTTTCGTCGACATTATGGGTTTAGGAGATGTTCGAAATTACAAGATCATTTGGCCAACTTAATGTAAATTTGCCAAGCTGTTTTATGTACGTACACATAACTGCACGAGACGACAAAATGATAGCACAATTCGTAGCATGTTTTGATACAAGAAGCGGGAGTGAGTTTTTAGCGAATCAGAATGCAGAGCACAATGCACCAAAAAAAAAATAAATGCATTATGAAAATCCGCGAAATAGCGAATCCGCGATAAGTGAACCGCGAAGTGGCGAGGGATCACTGTACTCTGCAAAATTACTTTGGTGTAAAGTTCAACAGAACTTTGATTTTATCAAATTCTGTCATATGTTACAGGACTTAATACTTGTTATGAAACTAACAATGTAACATACTTTATTTTCCTCAAACTGGTTTTCAAGTTTCATGTACCTTTTTGGTGTAACAACAATGGTTCATGCAGATCTATGTTTTTCAAAGATACCTGAAGAACATATGAAAGTACAAGCAAAAGACCGGAAGCTCTGTCACGCCCTGGCTCTGGGGACTCTAATATGTTGAGCCAGGGTGTGTAAAGTCTATGTGTTTTGTTCTAGGTTTCACTTTCTAGTATTGTTGTTCTATGTTGGCCAGTGTGGTTCTCAATCAGAGGCAACGTGATTCAGCTGTTGCTTGTTGTCTGTGATTGAGAACCATACTTTAGCAGCCTGTTTCCCCACAGAGTTTGTGGGATCTTGTTTCGAGTCTGTTGTGTTAGACCGTGAACTGTCACGTTTTCGTTTTGTTGGTTTTGATCGTGTCTCTAATAAAGAGTATGTTTGCCTGCAACGCTGCGCCTTGGTCCTCATCTCTGTTCGACGATCGTGACAGAAGATCCCACCAAGACTGGACCAAGCAGCAAGTCCAGGAGCCAGCGCCTGAGAGATCTCTAGCGGATCTCCTTCGCCTCCTCGACTGGGTCAAGCCATGTGAGGAAGAGAGGGGCCTGACGTGGAGGCAGAAGGGCGAAAGGCTGGCGAGAAGCATGGAGACCTGGTCCACGGGTAGGAGTGAAGCCCATAAAATTTTTAGGGGGGGGGCTAACGCCGTGGACGACGGGGCAGCAGGAGGCCGCCAGGTTACGGGAGTCACTGGTCACCAGGGGGAAGGAGGATGTAGAGGCACGGCGAGAGGTACTGGCGTGTGTTACCAGTCCGGTCCGGCCTGTTCCTGATCCCCACGTAGGGCCAGTGGTGTGTGTTCCCAGTACGGTCCGGCCTGTTCCTGCTCCCCGCACCAATCAGTGGTGCGTTTCGTCAGCCCTGTCCGGCCCATTCCTGCTCCCCGCACCAAGTCAGTGGTGCGTTTCGTCAGCCCTGTCCGGCCCGTTCCTGCTCCCCGCACCAAGTCAGTGGTGCGCGTCGTCAGCCCGGTCCGGCCCATTCCTGCTCCCCGCACCAAGTCAGTGGTGCGTTTCGTCAGCCCAGCTCGGCCCGTTCCTGCTCCCCGCACCAAGTCAGTGGTGCGCTTCGTCAGCCCGGCACGGCCCGTTCCTGCTCCCCGCACCAAGTCAGTGGTGCGCTTCATCAGCCCGGTCCGGCCCGCTCCTGCTCCCCGCACCAAGTCAGTGGTGCGTTTCGTCAGCCCGGCTCGGCCCGCTCCTGCTCCCCACACCAAGCCAGTGGTGTGCGTCGTCAGTCCGGCACGGCCCGTGCCTGTTCCACCGGTGGCTGGTCCGGCACCGGTCAGATGCTTCACGCCGGAGCTGGAGCAATCCGCTCCACCAGTGTGCAGTCCAGCTCCGGCCAGCGGGGCCAGACCGGACCAGGGGTACTTTGGGGGGTTGGAGAGGGAGCGGGGATCAGGCCCGGAGCCGGATCCGCCGCCTAAGCGGAGTGCCCACCCGGTCCCTCCCCTGTGGTATTTGGTGGGCGCGGTCGGAGTCCGCGCCTTTGGGGGGGGTACTGTCACGCCCTGGCGCTGGGGACTCTAATATGTTGAGCCAGGGTGTGTAAAGTCTATGTGTTTTGTTCTAGGTTTCACTTTCTAGTATTGTTGTTCTATGTTGGCCAGTGTGGTTCTCAATCAGAGGCAACGTGATTCAGCTGTTGCTTGTTGTCTGTGATTGAGAACCATACTTTAGCAGCCTGTTTCCCCACAGAGTTTGTGGGATCTTGTTTCGAGTCTGTTGTGTTAGACCGTGAACTGTCACGTTTTCGTTTTGTTGGTTTTGATCGTGTCTCTGTTCGACGATCGTGACAAGCTCAAATCAAATCAAATGTTATTTGTCACATGCGCCGAATACAACAAGTATAGACATTACCGTGAAATGCTTACTTTTTTTATTTTACCTTTATTTAACTAGGCAAGTCAGTTAAGAACAAATTCTTATTTACAATGACGGCATACACAGGCCAAACCCAGGACGACGCTGGGCCAATTGTGCGCCGCCCTATGGGACTCCCAATCACGGCCGGTTGTGATACAGCCTGGAATCGAACCAGGGGGTCTGTAGTGACGCCTCAAGCACTGAGATGCAGTGCCTTAGACCGCTGCGCCACTCGGGAGTCCTTTCCCAATAATGCAGTTAAAAATTAAGAAAATTAACAAATAGATACAAATAAAATAGTAACAAAATAAAATAACACTAAAATAATAATATTACAGGCTATTTACAAGGATCACCGATACCGAGTCAGTGTACTGGGGTACAGGGTAGTTGGGTGATTGATTGAGGCAATATGTACATGTAGGTTTGGTTAGGTGATTGATTGAAGTACTATGTACATGTAGGTAGGGGGTGAAAAGCAGAAAGTCCGGGTAGCCGTTTAATTAACTGTTCAGCAGTCTTATGGCTTTGGGGTAACAAAGGTAATAAAGCTAACGAAAGGGTCTGATCGTTTGACTGATCGTCTCTTCTCTTGTCTCCCCTACAGAGAGCTGACTTGGCTGTGGCCCCTCTTACCATCACCTACCTGCGTGAGAAGGTCGTGGACTTCTCCAAGCCCTTCATGAGCATGGGCATCAGCATCCTGTACCGCAAGCCCAACACCACCAACAACGGATTCTTCTCCTTCCTCAACCCCATGACCCCTGACATCTGGGTCTACATCCTGCTGGCCTACCTAGGCGTCAGCTGTGTCCTCTTCGTCATCGCCAGGTGAGTCCCAGACTTTTCTTGGCTACCTCCCTGGCTACTTCCTGTTCTACCTGTCTGTGTGTGTTTGTGTTTATTGAACTTATTGAGAGTGATATCTTTTGTTTATTCTACTTGTAGTGCTAAGTTACAGTTGCAAGCACTAAAAAGTTAATTAAAAAAAGAACTTGTACTGCAATACAGTTTTTTGTGACAAAACACTGTCTCTCACGAGGAGAGCACCATGTTGAACATGCCAAAACCACAGCACAACCTAACGTTTTAATGCCCGCAACAGTGTATGGTTGCAGCTATGTGGAAATGTTTTATCTGGAAAGATATAGTGCACAAAATGTGGCTGGCCAATCCGAATCTCTGCAGAACTGAGTGAGTCAATGATGGTCTCAAGTGATTCCATCAGTTGGGGATAAGGAGAGGTCTCTGCTCTGCGGTAGGGCCATGTTCAATTGGTACAAGTCCAACATTTAGTGTGAGCTGGTGGGTAGTGATCAAGGCAGTTATGTCAGCGTGGGTGCTCTGTGGAGCCCAGCAGTGGAAGAAAAGGATGAGAGTAGCAAACCACCAGTGAAGTTATACACTCCAATTCAAAGCATTTCCTGTATAATTTCTCTGCAGTTGTGGCGCTTCTTTGAACAACCTTCATCTTTCAAATGTATACAAATAAATACCTGCCGATACCTGGAGAAATAAATTAGATTAATAAAAAATAAAAATGGCATCTTTTCCACATTCTCCACAAATCATTGAAAATCATTGAAAGTGGAATGTATTAGTAATGCCTGAAATTAGTATGGATTGAGATCATTGAAGAAGTATCTATGATTTGTTTTCTGTTTCCCTATGTGTTCCAAATGGGTTCCTGAGAACTTTCTATGGAATTATTTACACAAGAGAGAAAGAAAATAACCCATGTGCCACTTGCAGGCATCCTCCTCACCTTGGGTGGTCATTGTCAATGCTTCTCACCGCTTCCTGGTGCCTCCAAATGCAGAGTGGTGCTTGAGGAAGTTCTGAGAATGTGGAGCTTTTGAAGGGGCTTGGGGTTCTGAGAGGAGCCAGCTGCACTCCCATTATGTCTTGAGACAAGCTCACGAGCTCGTTTTAGCACCCTGTTCTATAAGTACAAGTAGAAAATCATCTCTGACTGTTGCATCATTCTTTGGAGACCTGCCTAGAAAGTGAGCAGAAGTGCTTTGAGCCAAAATAATGATCAAATAGCAGTTTGATGTATGGGTGTTTGAGATGTTGAAAAAACCAGAACGCTTTGACGAAAGAGGCAAATGTATGTGTTCAATATCAGGTAGGCACATACTGTACTGATAGTCTATAGTTGAAAACAATTCAGACAACTTGAAGTCAAAAGCTTTTCTGGACAATCACAATCCATGTCACTGACCAGGCACCCACGAGAAGAGAACTATGAAAGCACTAAGCCTTATGTTTTGCCACAGCCATCTTGGAGTCCATGACTGTGGGTCAACAATATGGGAAACCTACTCGAGTGCTTACAGAAGTGTGAAAACAGAAAATAAATCTCAAGCAACTATGCTCTAAGTACGAGAAAGAGAAAACATTGAGCAGTGCCCGGTATATGCAATTGCCTTATCAGTGCTCTTAAAACCTGGGATCACTTTAAGGATGTAACTAGGGGGGTAGAAATCACCACAAGCTTCAATGCTGCAATAAGCTGTCCAGGACCTGGAAAATATATAATTGAAATTCCATAAGATAAAAATGGGCAGTGGAATACAGATTACAAAATAAGACTTCTATACCATGCCAATCTTGCTCTAGCAAGTGTGTAATAATGGAGGTTTTTCCCCAGTCATCCTTATCATTTCAAATAGCAACACATTGGCCAAGTTTCAATTTCTTTGAGTTACCGCTTCAGGTGCTTCTGCTATGTCTGTCTAGCTGCCGAGACATAGGGAGAGGCGAGGGTTTTGCTTTCTGATTATCATTCAGACTATTTAGAGGGTTTATGTTTTGGAGAGATTGCTGCATCATTAGAGTGTGACCAGATTTAATGAAAAACACACTATGAATGGCGAAGGTGCATAAAGATGTCGGATTTCAGATATGAGGTCATGGTTTTACCACTATCCATGGAGTTTTTAAACTACGGTGCGTGACATGGTTCAATGCGCCAATAAATCAGCACAATCTATATTTTAGTTTTTTCAAATTGTCTGCTTAAATTGTGATCTTGTATACTGTACATACTGTGCTAATGACGATACAAAAAATTGTAACAGAGCAATGTACAATACAGCGAACTTGGTAAACAACGAATTTGTGTTAAGTACATGGATGCCGCCATCTTCATGCACCTTCCCCATTAAATGGAGGCAAATGAAGATGCAAACCAGTCTCCTGAGCTATGTGTTCCATTAAATCCCAAAAAATTTTTCAAGAGACTTTATTGACACTGTACAGTATATGTATGGTCCTCACTTGGAAATTTTAGTTAACACAAAATCACTCAGAGTAAATGTCAAAGTTACTGACGAGGTAAAAAAAGGTCTTGATTTAGTGTCTTCTTTTTGAAAAGAGACACATTTTGGTCACACTTTATTTGGATATTCCGGAGAGTCCATCTGTAGAGCATCATACTATCAACAAACCATCTGTTGATAGTAACTACTTGCTAAGGTTAATTTTGGTTAAGGTTAGTTTTAGAATAAGGGTAAGGGTTAAGATTAGGGTTAGGGTTAGTAGATAGTTAGTTTGAAATGTTAGTGATAGTCTATAGAGCATCTACAGATGGACTATCCAAGTAAAGAGTTACCTTATTTTCTCCACTCATTAGGCCAACTTTCATAAAAGCCAGTAGAGATAGAAGCAGCATATTTTAAGAAGAGATGCTTCGTAAGGATCTAAGCATCCTCTTCCTCTCCTCTCCTCTGACAGCAAAACACCCTGAATAAATTTGAATAATCAGATCGTATTTGAAAACATTTTCAAAATTAATTTCAGGAAGGGAAAGCACTGACATTTAGCATGTTTTATCTCTCCATCTGCCTTTAAAAGTGACTGTTTCATCTACATTAAAGGATTTATGGTGTGCAGCACTTTGAAAAGATGTTACACTAAATGGCAGAGGTACGTGGATCCACGGGCTTCGCAGGTTTTATACTGCTACATTTTCAGCGTTGCATGCCTCACGTTCTATCACAAAATGACATTTCAATATCTGTCGTCCTGAAAGTGGTATTTTTGTGGAAAGTTTGCTACATTTGAGCACAGCGAGATATCTACTGAGATATATATATATAAAGGTACCGCAAACGTTTTGATTTGAACAGCGTTGACAGACAGCTATCGTGGACACATAAGAGCACGTCAACACAACTGACAAATGCTATGTCAAATGTACCACTAACAACAAGTTACTGAAAACAATAGGTGGACATCTTTACAGCTTGTCTTTTGTTTGTATAGTGAGTAAATATCCATATGAAAATATGACTCCTTTTGCACCCTGTAATTTGTACCCACAGTTGCACAGTTCTTTAGGGACACTGTAGGCTAACGCTTCATGGGTGGTTTTGTCAGGCGAAATTCAGGTTAAGTGCTAGGCTCAAGGACACATCAGGAGTGCTCTACCCAGCAGAGAGGCCTTCGATGCAGAGAACTAGGATGTATTATTAAGCACAGCTTCTGTTCCATTTTATTAGAACCAATTTCAGATTCATTACTGTGGTTCAACCCAAAAGCCACAGGATTACTGGCCAAGAGCATGAAATGAATCCAAGATAGGTATACCCATGCATAATACATGTAAACTTAGTAGCAACATATCATATCTGTGTAAGTCCCTATATTACCCCCATTCCCATAGTACAGTATTAACACAATAATATAATTGATTATTAAACTGCTTTGAGTCAAAGTTTTCCTTTGAACTCATTTTTCTTTCTTTGTATATCATTTCTGTATGCAAACATCGGAGGGCTACATGAGTATAAATTATTATATATTGATATTGATGTTGGTGAGAAAGGGATTGAATTCTAATGCACATGATCTCTTTCCCCATGCCTCATCAGGGTTAACTGAGCCCCACAGTAACAATACACTATTATGCCGAAATTATGGTACACTAGAGCCTTTGTTCCTGACATCTTTCTCCTCCTGTCTCCCTATAGGTTCAGTCCATACGAATGGTACGACGCCCATCCCTGCAATCCCGGATCCGACGTGGTGGAGAACAACTTCACCCTCCTTAACAGCTTCTGGTTCGGTGTGGGCTCCCTCATGCAGCAAGGTATGGTATAGCCTAGCTTATTCCCTATTTCACCTGTCAAAAGCAACAATACCCCCTCCACTCCCTTCCTCTTCTGCGCAGCCATCCTCCCTCTCTCCACCTTTTTAACTGACAAGCTACCTAATTTCCATTTTTGAGACTGTTTTAGAAGACACTTGTCTCTCAGGAACAACTGCAGATGGCAAAAGAAAGCTGTTGTCACCTCCCTGCCTGCTCATAGAAACAGGAGTGGTGAGAGAAAGTAGGTGTCAGACACCTGTCAGAATGTGGCAGGTAAAGACAGAAAACACGGTAGCATTTGTTTCCCCCATAACACAGCTGTTTGTGTTTTGGGACGAAAGGGTAAGTTGGAGAACGTGTCTGACAAATGCCAGCTGTCACTCCTCGCTGGCGTTGGCTACGGCCACAAGGTTGACGTTTACATCGTTGTGTTGCCCGAGTGCCCATACCAAAGACCCATTGTCGAAATCTATATCCTCCACACACCTCAGCTCTCGGGACAAATGACATTTTGTTAAATGCCACTTGGGCCTTTTATGGTGCTGGAGTAGTGTATTGTCATTATTGTCCTTTAGGCATAATTTCCTGATATTAAAGTATGTCAATTCTCAGCATCTTTCTTATGCAAGAGCAGACAGTTAGCTTTAGTCTTTCCCCAACCCCCAAAGTACCTATTTGAATTATTCTGCCTTCTGTGTAAGCTTACACAAATCTGAGGAAAGTTAGGGGAAGGATATTACGTGGCACCAAGCTAATGCAGTCTCCTCGTCCACCCTTAAAGACATTCATAAGCAAATGGAGCCCCCTAAATGATTTGACTTAATAAAGTCAACCGGGGATAAAAAAAGAGCTAGTAATAAAATGTTTAACCTCAATGTAACAAGACAAATTAGAGAGGCTCGGCGGGGTTTGATGGTGGTTCTCTGCCGGTAAGGAGAGCAAATGCGTCAATTCATTAAGCACAAAAGCTGTGCGGCTTCTCGGCAGCTCTCCCGCGTAGCTGCGTGGTATCCCTGAAAATGTGCATTGTGAGTGGAGGCTAGGAGGATAACAGTACAATATGAGAGGGAGGAGAGGAATAAACAAAACAGAAGGAAGTTGGTGATTAATCTTTGAACAAGATTGATGGTCCTTTGTCATTGAGATGGTGGGTCAACCACTTGAATCTTCAACTTGAATCGTAAACCACCTGTGTTGGTAAAGAATGTTGTTCCTTTGAATACTGTCCTCCTGTAAGCAGGTTAATGTTGTTCCCTCAGATTACATACTATACAACAGGATATTTACAGGATATTTACTTTGACACAGCAGAATGGTCTAAGAGTTAACTAGGCTGAACTCCACTTGCATTATGAGTATAACCTTGCTTGAAAAATAGACGTTTCATTGCCAAATCATCCCAAAGTGTCTAAAATGGATTTTGGAGCTCTATACAGTTACTTTAAAATGATTTGGATATCAAACACGGAAAATAATTGTATCTGGGATAATGACTTGCATTGTTCTTTGGACACAAGTGCCAAAAAAAATGCTTTTGGTGAAAGTAGCCAGGTTAACAAAACCAAAAGGATATCTACTTTTGTAATTTGGGTGAACTATCCCTTTAAGATCATAGTGCTAATGTCATCTAAATTGCTTAAAACAATTACGTTAACAAGTTACAATTACTCTTTAAACATGTTACCTTTTCCCAATCTACTGTAACTTAGTTCCCTATGACAGAGTGAAAAAAAATGAAATAACCTGCATCATTTGCAGTTAACTAAAAAAGTAGGTCAAACATTGATTCTCTGGAAGACATACCCACTGAAATGCATTTTTTTATCCAGCTCCTTATAACAAACCTTGATAATATCTAATCGTTTGATCATGTAATTTATCAATGCAGCAATAACATAGTCTTCACCCTGGAGCACCATGTGCAGCCTGCACACATTTCTCTCTGTTCAGATGGACTAGTATTGAGCAATTGTGACTTTCTGTGGCACGTATGTGTCCTGTACTCAGGGGTGGACTGGCCAACTGGCATCTTGGGCAAATGTCAGATGACCTGTCTGTAGCAAAGCAGTATGAGGGTCTGCACTCAGGCTTAGGTAAATAGTGGCCAGTGCGTGAGAGAGTTCAGCAGGTACTCGCACTAAAACCATAAAAAAGAAAAACCAAGGAGGCTGAGAAATATACTTAATTGAATTCCATGCTGGAAAGAATACAAAAAGTGCCAGTGCAAAGTGTTGGTCCAAATATGTATCCAAAGGGGTGCATTTTGTTATACAAACCAGACACCTTATGCTCTGCTACCAAACTCACTGACAGACACTGAGGAGGAAGCCATTTCATTGACATGTTTAAAATGCAAATGGCCATGTTTGGAAGAGGAAGAAGGGCCTAATAAAACAAAACCCTGCAAGCTTGTCTGTAGGAGTGAGGTGTCATACAAAACAAGAAGAGTACACAAAATGGAGTGGTGTAAAAGCACACCTTGCATGCTTCAAAAGAGGCGCGCCCTGGGCTGTGTGAGGCTTTTCTGATAGGTGTTGCAAAATGGGTGAAACATGAAAATAACTGAGTTGCAAAATGTGTAAGTAACATAAGCTGTACAAAATACTGCATTTATAGTCATGGGGCATTGTTTTTACTGTATCTGTGTTATCTTATTCCGATATGGAGAAGAGAGTTTCTCAACTTGGAAAACATTTGAGTATTTAAAAGAGATTAATAAGCAGTAACAGCCTCTGGCGTAGAGAGCGTGTTTTTATGTGATGAAGCTGCTAAGGAGAGAATGTTAAGTGCAGGTAATGATTCTCATGGGAAGAGCTGCCTCTCTGATGTTAAGTTGAAGCCTTGCTTGTGGGGAAAATAACATGGGGAGAAAGCCAGGGCATTGCATTTAATAGTACTCAGTGCTTCTAAATCCACAAAGAATATACACTGTAACTCCCAGAAAGGCTCTGATTGTCCTTTTTCAAACTGACGATGGAGCAAGCCGTTTCCGTTTCTATGAGACACTTATGTTGTTATGCATTATGAATCTATCTTAAGCATGTGTGCTTTTATCAAGGCTGTTATAAGGAGCCACAAGTAGTTATGAATGCTTTTTGCAAGTCGTATATTGTACTATGGGGATAGAGGGTACGGTAAATACATTAATTTCACACGGGTGGATCACAGCAAATGCTACTACTGTATGCAATATTACAAGCATCAAGAATTAGCACTGAATTATCACAGTGAATTATTGTAATGTTTGTTTGTGGCAATTAATACCATAAGGGATGAGTTGCCAACTAGTGATTTGACACGAAAATAAAATGTCCTTCATTCATTCATTCATTCAGCATCCCTGAGCCTAATACCTTTCTCAATAAAATTGGCATTTTGCCGTAGTGTGTATTTAGAGTCACATCCCCCATCCTGTAACATACTTTACATTGGAATGTTTTGTCATAGTGTTTTGCATGGCCTTTCACTGTACTTGTGCACATGACATTACATCTTGAAACTTGCAGTATCTAAGATGTCAGCACCTAGCCATTCTAGCTGCAGCAGCACTGCAGTCACTGAGATTGATGTGTCGCTTTGTTGACTGGAATTGCATCATTATCTTCTGCTCTGAAAGGACATTTATACTTCTTTGGCTTAGAAGACATGAAGTCCTTCTTCAAGGAGATGTATAGTGTATTGACAAGGTTTTATATCCTCGGCAGCATATGACCAATCCATTTTTTGTATTTATTAGAGTGTTCTCGGTGCAGTGCGCTCCAGCTGACAACAGCATTTTATGGCCTGGAATCCAATTGTGTTACCAGTTGTTCCAGTTCTTTACCAGTATGACTGCTGAGCTGGGTGTCCTCCTATACTTAAGTGATAGTTCTTACCGTGGAGTGTTACAGTACTGGCCTTGTTTGCCACCGTGTAAGGCTGTCAAATCACAAAGGACAAATCCAATCAAATTGGGTAAGGAAGGTTAAAAAGCTGACCACTTTACCTCCTCTCAGTGGGGTGGTTACTCTTCAAAATTGCCCTCATAAATCTTATCAGTAAAGTAGTGGAGGGCACTGAACGCAACCTCTGGTGGAGAGGTTGTTTTAGATGTCGACAGGGACAGAAAATAAAGTAACTTTAACCGTGAGTCAAAAAGCTATTGTAAACAAGATATATGGGAATGTATCTGACAGAGGACCTCACAAAGTCATAATAAATGCTGTTGGAGGCAGGCTGGCCAACCTAAGTAATTGAACATTTATGTCCTGAGACTGATAAGCCATTTTCACCCTGTCAAATGTAAGTTGTCACAAATTAATGTATGTTATGGATGCATTCTTTGTGAGACACTGCTCAACACAATTCAAAATCATGCAAAGAAGAATATAAAACACAAAATAGACATGTTGTAATCTCAAAATGCATGCAACAGACAAAATAAAAGAAAGCATATAGTGCATGTATACTATGCAAGCCATTTTACGGGCGCAGGGAACATATGGCTGTGGCAAAGGAGGTGGAACATTTCAAAGGCAGAGAAAGAGCAGAATCACATTTAGATTGGACGCAGGCCTAGTGTCAGGGTTATTTATGAAACCCCACAGCGAAAAAGCAAACGCGTGTCACTTTATTAATTCAAAAACACCAGAATAGATTTAACCGCCTCCCCCCCTCATATCTTGCTCGGCTCCCAATAAGAATATTCCAGATTCCACCATCAGTTTGTGTTTTCTGTCTGTTAAGCTTGGTGGAATCAGAGGCCGTGTTCCAGGCTGACTACATTGCAGATGCATGACAGATCTCCAGCCCAGACCACCCACTACTGCTTTGATCTCCTCCCGTCAGGTTGGAGATACCGGACAATTAAGTGTTCGCACTGTGCCCTTCTGGAGGAGTTTCATCCTGGCGGCTATCACTATAATGAACAATTCTATGTAGCTTCCCTCTATGTTTGTTTCTTGCCGTGTTTCCGAAGTGTTTTATGCATTCATGTGTGAGCTGTGCTAAGATTTTCCTCTTGTAAGACAATAAACCTGATTCTGACCCGATTCTGATATCTCATAATGCATGTATAGGTGTTTATCATTTCAACTAACCTCATCATATGATATATATCAGATACCTGACTCTGCAGTCAATGACTTGCACACAACCATTGGATGGTGCAACACAACTGGAATATTGTCAGCTTGGAACATGACCATTATTTTAAAAGGAACACTCAACCCAGACTGGAGGTTTGTGTGGATCCAGGAATCCTACTGTATCTAGCAATTAGTTTGGGATCGCCCCCGAAAGGTTGTGCTGATCCGCTTCCTTCATAGTCAGCCAATTGTAGTCAAATTAAAATGTAATTCATTTTCCAAACTTAGGAAGGCTGCCAGGTACTTAGATATGCCCCTGTAGTTGTTTTCCCTCTGAGAATTTGAGTAAGACCAAGAGTGTATGTGTGTTCCATTGATCACCTTTATGTGAAAAAGCAACCATATAACCATTGTGTTTGTTATATTCTGTAACAGTGTTACATAATGAAGATACATATGTGATGTCATACATCTCCATTATAAAGGCTATACCAAACTTTTGCCTCTGGGGGTACACTTAAGTCAAAATGGGTCCCCTAAATGGACAGAAATATTGCCCAGAAATTACCTAATATATAATAGAATATGTATATGAACCATACAGCCAACATTCAAGCCTAAATGTGAGGTAAACAATTAGCAACTGTAAGATGCCTGTTGTTCTCACACACCCTGTCTGCTATTCAGGCTCTGAGCTGATGCCCAAAGCCCTGTCCACCAGGATCATCGGAGGCATCTGGTGGTTCTTCACCCTCATCATCATCTCCTCCTACACGGCCAACCTGGCCGCCTTCCTCACCGTGGAGCGCATGGTGTCGCCCGTGGACTCTGCCGACGACATCGCCAAGCAGACCAAGATTGAGTACGGTGTGGTCAAAGACGGTGCCACCATGTCTTTCTTCAAGGTATGTATATTAAAAGTTTGGACATAGTCTGTCTTTGCTTTGGTTTTGAGTTGTGCTTTCTTTCATGTTGATTTCATTACTCATATGAAATGAACACTCTGCAAAGAACATTATCTGAAAATAACATAATTAAATCTCTTAATTTCATTTCTACAGTCATTTTAAGCAGTTTGAATGCAGCCCCATTGATTGAAGCACGCTGATTACACACAGTTATATTGTCATAAAACGTGTTTATGAAGAACTGAGACAAGATGCTGAATCAGTACTTTTTGGCCGACTTTTTAAGAAATGTTTTTTTTTCTCTATACAGTTGAGGAAAAAAATCAGTGCTATTCCACAAAAGACAGATTTCCAGTTAGATCTTAATTCCCACTGCAAAAGCAAATTCTCCAGCTTCTCCACTTCTCCACGCTGTTTGATGTGATCCTCCATAATGATTGTTTTATTCCAAAGTTTCAGCTTTTGCCCTGCAGGGCTCTAAACTTTATTTTATTATTTGAGTTTCGCCTCAGATGCTGTTACTGTCGTACTGAATAACATATAAGGGTTTGCTGTTTTTCGGTGTAAGAAATTGAAAACATTGGACACATTTCTATGGAAAATGTTTTATGGACAAGGGAAAAGTCCATATGTTTATGACACACAATAGCAAGGAAAACAGATCCTTTTATCCAGGGTGATTGCCCCAGTTTTACACTTTCAAATATTCTCTGTTGAGTAGTATACATAAATACTGTATGTAATAATTGTGCCTCTGCTAAAGAGTGTATCTTTGTAGTTTCCCCTGCACTGACAATATAACTGAGGATGACTTTTTAGACTTCTCTCTGGCCCATTTGCTATTTCCTTCACCCCTATGTCCTTTATATTGGTTTATTCACATTATATTATATTAATATTATATTTATTGGCACTTTGGGTATTTGAAAACTGTGCTACAATTATTATTATTATTATTATTATTATTATTTAATTTTTTCATAATGTATCTCTTTCTACTCTCTGTTAGCATTATGTCTTAGCTGCTCTATGACCCGGTCAGAATATCCACCAATAGAATTTTCACCCACATAAAGATTCCCAGTGACCACCAAAAAAATCACTGGGGGAGAAAGAGCACATTAGTAACCATTCTATTCCATAAGGTTTGATTAACATTGAGTTCAATGAGGGATTAGGCATGGTCCATGGAGTAACTAGAATGTGTGATTATACCAAATTAGAGTCATCAGTTGCCTAACCATTGGAACTACTGGCTATGGTATAAACCGGGGGTGGCCAACCCTCCTCTTGGAGAGCTACTGAGTGTGTGGGCTTTTGCTCCAGCCCCTACTGAAACCCACCTGATCCTACTAATAATCTGCTCATCACGGCCTTTAGTTCCTAATGGCTCTGCCTGTCTACCCTGAGCTATACCCATCTATTTGAACCTTCTCTAAATTATAGATTATTGACAATTAGTCAAAAACTTGCTGTAAGTTCTCAGCAGAGTAAAAAGTGGATTTTTCTCCTGAAGCGTGTTTACTTTGATTAGTGACAGATATGATTGCAGTGTTATTAGTCAGAGGAGACACAGGTGTCTATAATTACCTCATCAGTTGCAGAGCTCAAGTGCCCTCGGTTCCTTATCACTGGGAGGGCTAACGAGCTCGACTGAAGCAGATGAGGGAGCTGATAAATACTGAAGAGGTCGGGGAGTAGCTGTAGATTTGTCAAAACACACTGCATGGAAGGGCACTGTAGGGCAAAGTAAAGCTTTGCACTGTAATCTCTGGCACACTCATGGTAACACTATGCTATCTTGACAATCAGATGTACTGTATGTGTTTTATATTTCATATACCAACATATCACCTGCACATCTAAATAATGTTTTTCACATTTCAATCGTCGATGCAGGAATTAAGTAACTAAAGAGCTTTGATATCGTTCATAGTTTCAAATGCCTATGGTAATGAGACAGTCATTATCTCAAATTAGGTATGGAATAACATTTGACCCCTTGTCAAATAGCATGAAATATCACACAGACAAACGCAAGGCTAATGGAGAGGAACTCAATTAATCCAGCCTTTTTGCCTATTTCCCCCTGGATGAAAATAGATGTACCGTACCTCCTCATGTCTTACTAAATTATTATATCCAGTGGCCCAAGTCTCTTTTTATAAAAAAATAAAATAAACAATAGATGTTTGAAAGTATACAAGTGTCAAAGTAGATACAGTACTTGAAAGCTGTGAATGTTAAAGTGGCATTGCACAGGTTATTCGTTCACTTGGAGCTCAAGGCTCCAATGCATTCCTTTATTCTTACAATTATATACTTCTCGAAATGGAGAAGTGTGGGAAAAGGATAACAGCATGATAGGTGCTCAAGGTTGCCAGAGTATTTTCAACACTAATACTATGTGCTACAAAGATGAGAGGGCTATAATGTGCAATGGCATCAACACACTGTAGAAAACATGTTAATTTCAGAAAGGTACTGTGTAGACTCAATGCCCCTTTGACCAGGTGTAATGCACAATCTGAGATTCAACATTGATTGTAATTTCAATTCTTCCCCTTACAGAAATCAAAGGTTTCTACTTTTGAGAAGATGTGGGCCTTTATGAGTAGTAAACAGAGTACGTCGCTGGTCAAGTCCATTGAGGACGGCATCCAGAGGGTTCTGAAGTCTGACTATGCCTTGCTCATGGAGTCCACCACAATCGATTACATTACCCGGCAGAACTGCAACCTCACCCAGGTTGGAGGCATCATTGACAGCAAAGGCTATGGAATAGGCACTCCCATGGGTAAGATGTAACAAAATATCTGTACCATAATAGATATAGTAGGTTGTTGATGGTATAAACACTCTCCAGCTCTCCATAACTCCTGCAGCAAGCACCATCCCCTCCATTGATACATTGGTAGGAGGTGGTCCTTCGAGCTGGACAGGAACAAATAACACATTAATCCTATATCTGTGCTTTCGATGCAGAGCATTTCATTGAACTACTATTGTACTACTATTGTATTTTACTCTTGTTATTTAGTACATTTTTGGACTATGTGTATTGTTATTGTATTGCGAGATATTGCTGCACTGTTTTAGCTAGAAACAGAAACATTTCGCTGCACCTGCGATAACATCTGCAAAACTGTGTACGCGACCAATAAACTTCGATTTGATTTCTATCAATATGCAATGACAACATATGCATTTGAGCCATGTTTTATGAAAATTCCCCTGTGGCCTCATCAGCAAGGTCCAGCTAATGGTTTATCTTATCTTTCAACCAGACTAAAGCAGACCTTCTGTTGCTTGCCTTACAGGCTCTCCATACCGGGACAAAGTGACCATCGCCATTCTGAACATCCTGGAGGATGGCCGTCTGCACATGCTCAAGGAGAAGTGGTGGAGCAGCAGCAGCTGTCTGGACGAAGAGCACCGTGAAAGCGCCGGCCCCATGGGCATTCAGAACCTGGGAGGGATCTTTATAGTGCTGGCGTCTGGCCTGGTTCTCTCCGTCTTTGTGGCTATAGCTGAATTCATATACAAGCTAAGGAAGACAGCGAAACGTGAGCAGGTAGATATTATCCCCATAAATCTGATTCAAGATTGTTGATCAGTAATTTATTTACTTGATGTGATTATTTTATTAATGACATTGTTTGCATGACGTACAGTATATATTGGTTAATTTTAGATCCTTCCCTTCCATTGTTCAACTTGCCTAACTGTGTGTATTTCTGACAATGTGAACACAACCTTTAAATCCAAGCTGTACTCTGTCCATTTTAGTTCCATTTATTAAAGGGATTTGCATGCCCTCAAATAATCCCTGTGCTATTTGGCCATAAAATATAACTCTATTGGGTTCAGGTCTGGAGACTGGCTAGGCCACTCCAGGACCTTGAGATGCTTCTTACGGAGCCACTCCTTAGTTGCCCTGGCTGTGTGTTTCGGGTCGTTGTCATGCTGGAAGACCCAGCCACGACCCATCTTCAATGCTCTTACTGAGGGAAGGAGGTTGTTGGCCAAGATCTCGCGATACATGGCCCCATCCATCCTCCCCTCAATATGGTGCAGTCGTCCTGTCCCCTTTGCAGAAAGGCATCCCCAAAGAATGATGTTTCCACCTCCATGCTTCACGGTTGGGATGGTGTTCTTGGGGTTGTACTCATCCTTCTTCTTCTTCCAAACACGGCGAGTGGAGTTTAGACCAAAAAGCTCTATTTTTGTCTCATCAGACCACATGACCTTCTCCCATTCCTCCTCTGGATCATCCAGATGGTCATTGGCAAACTTCAGACGAGCCTGGACATGCGCTGGCTTGAGCAGGGGGACCTTGCGTGCGCTGCAGGATTTTAATCCATGACGGCGTAGTGTGTTACTAATGGTTTTCTTTGAGATTGTGGTCCCAGCTCTCTTCAGGTCATTGACCAGGTCCTGCCATGTAGTTCTGGGCTGATCCCTCACCTTCCTCATGATCATTGATGCCTCACGAGGTGAGATCTTGCGTGGAGCCCCAGACTGAGGGTGATTGACCGTCATCTTGAACTTCTTCCATTTTCTAATAATTGTGCCAACAGTTGTTGCCTTCTCACCAAGCTGCTTGCCTATTGTCCTGTAGCCCATCCCAGCCTTGTGCAGGTCTACAATTTTATCCCTGATGTCCTTACACAGCTCTCTGGTCTTGGCCATTGTGGAGAGGTTGGAGTCTGTTTGATTGAGTGTGTGGACAGGTGTCTTTTATACAGGTAACGAGTTCAAACAGGTGCAGTTAATACAGGTAATGAGTGGAGAACAGGAGGGCTTCTTAAATAAAAACTAACAGGTCTGTGAGAGCTGGAATTCTTACTGGTTGGTAGGTGATCAAATACTTATGTCATGCAATAAAATGCTAATTAATTACTTAAAAATCATACAATGGGATTTTCTGGATTTTTGTTTTAGATTCCGTCTCTCACAGTTGAAGTGTACCTATGATAAAAATTACAGACCTCTACATGCTTTGTAAGTAGGAAAACCTGCAAAATCGGCAGTGTATCAAATACTTGTTCTCACTGTATATATCTCTCGAGATGGAGAAGTGTGGGAAAAGGATAACAGCATGATAGGTGCTCAAGGTTGCCAGAGTATTTTCAACACCAATACTATGTGCTACAAAGATGAGAGGGCTATAATGTGCAATGGCATCAACACATGTTAAAACATGTTAATTTCATAAAGGTACTGTGTAGACTCAATGCCCCTTTGACCAGGTGTAATGCACAATCTGAGATTCAACATTGATTGTACTTTCAATTCTTCCCCTTACAGAAATCAAAGGTTTCTACTTTTGAGAAGATGTGGGCCTTTATGAGTAGTAAACAGAGTACGTCGTTGGTCAAGTCCATTGAGGACGGCATCCAGAGGGTTCTGAAGTCTGACTATGCCTTGCTCATGGAGTCCACCACAATCGATTACATTACCCGGCAGAACTGCAACCTCACCCAGGTTGGAGGCATCATTGACAGCAAAGGCTATGGAATAGGCACTCCCATGGGTAAGATGTAACAAAATATCTGTACCATAATAGATATAGTAGGTTGTTGATGGTATAAACACTCTCCAGCTCTCCATAACTCCTGCAGCAAGCACCATCACCTCCATTGATACATTGGTAGGAGGTGGTCCTTCGAGCTGGACAGGAACAAATAACACATTAATCCTATATCTGTGCTTTCGATGCAGAGCATTTCATTGAACTACTATTGTACTACTATTGTATTTTACTCTTGTTATTTAGTACATTTTTGGACTATGTGTATTGTTATTGTATTGCGAGATATTGCTGCACTGTTGGAGCTAGAAACAGAAACATTTCGCTGCACCTGCGATAACATCTGCAAAACTGTGTACGCGACCAATAAACTTCGATTTGATTTTTATCAATATGCAATGACAACATATGCATTTGAGCCATGTTTCATGAAAATTCCCCTGTGGCCTCATCAGCAAGGTCCAGCTAATGGTTTATCTTATATTTCAACCAGACTAAAGCAGACCTTCTGTTGCTTGCCTTACAGGCTCTCCATACCGGGACAAAGTGACCATCGCCATCCTGAGCATCCTGGAGGATGGCCGTCTGCACATGCTCAAGGAGAAGTGGTGGAGCGGCAGCAGCTGTCTGGACGAAGAGCGCCGTGAAAGCGCCGGCCCCATGGGCATTCAGAACCTGGGAGGGATCTTTATAGTGCTGGCGTCTGGCCTGGTTCTCTCCGTCTTTGTGGCTATAGCTGAATTCATATACAAGCTAAGGAAGACGGCAAAACGTGAGCAGGTAGATATTATCCCCATGAATCTGATTCAAGATTCTTGATCAGTAATTTATTTACTTGATGTGATTATTTTATTAATGACATTGTTTGCATGACGTACAGTATATATTGGTTAATTTTAGATCCTTCCCTTCCATTGTTCAACTTGCCTAACTGTGTGTATTTCTGACAATGTGAACACAACCTTTAAATCCAAGCTGTACTCTGTCCATTTTAGTTCCATTTATTAAAGGGATTTGCATGCCCTCAAATAATCCCTGTGCTATTTGGCCATAAAATATAACATTTATTTAATTTTAACAGGCATAATTGCAAATTGGAGCATGCCGAATTAATCTGTTATTAGTCATTGCAGATGTCAGAATAGCATGAAACTCAACAGTTGTAAATCACAGATTTGAGTTATGCAACTAAGTGGGTTGCGTCAAGCATGCTTGTATAGGTAATGGGGTAAGAATACGGCTCTGTGTCAATCTATCTGACAGAGCAGGAACAGTGCACATTGCGTGGGTTGCATGTGGTGGGGGTTGCAGTATGACATGGCTGTCAGCGATGGGAGAGGAACAACATACATAAATGTATTGTGGGTAATGTGTTTTGCACTCTTGATCTTGTTGACACTCTATGCTGTCAGAACCATTTAAAGCTAAGGCATTTACCCCCCCATCCCTTTCCCCCCCTTCTCTCCCCTTCTCCTCGCCCTTTTTGCCCAGAGGTCTTTCTGCAGTGCCATGGTGGACGAGATCAGACAGTCGTTCACCTGCGGGAGGCGTGTGAAACACAAGCGCCACCACCAGGCCCCGGTCATGGTCAAGACGGATGCAGTGATCAACATGCACACGTTCAACGACCGACGACTCCCGGGAAAGGACAACATGAGCTGCAACACTGGGATGACCCCCGTGTTCCCGTGACGGTTTGCGCCTCCCAGAGAAAGAGCCTCCTGAGCAATGTGGAGGGCGTGATTGGTCCCGAAACCTGGGACAATGGAATCGAGGGGATCACCAGATTCACCATCAACCACAGCGACATAGGGACACTAACGAAACATGGAACACTAACTAAACATGGTACTTTCAAAATGGCAGCATCGGCGACACAGGTATGACAACGTTCACCCATGTATTCCAAAAGAGACAGAAAAAGAGAGAGAGGTGGAGGAGGAGAACCATTCCTGGAAAAGGAAACAACATCTCCAAATAATCTGTATTCAAGTCCGATGTTTACGTACGTAACACAAAAATACACTCACCAAGGAATCACAAGATATCCAAGGAATCCTTGATTGACAACAAGATTCAACCTTTTTATTGGACATATGGCATAAAGACAGAGGTGGCTTCGTTGAGCATGGCAATAAAAGAACTACAGACAGGGGAAATGGGGTTTTGATGGGAGATCAGTTATGTCACACATAGCACATCACGATCATTCAAAGTAAAAAATCTGACCTAATATTTTTTATCTTGTCTGGAGGTCCTTTGGCAGCAGAAAATGATGTTACCTCAAACCTTGTACAGACATAACATTGGGTTCTTGATTTCCTCTCTTTGAGTCATAGTCTATTTTATGAGAGGCATTTTTAAATGCATGGCTTGGACCATCGGACTTCTATAATTCCACTAGAAGAAACACGTCCTTAGTACATGCAGATGACAGCAATGGAATCCCAACAGTGAGCAAATCCCATAGAAAGAGAATTAGGTTTACAGATTATCTTTAATTGACGAAAAATTACTGTTCAAAGAGAGAGAGAGAGTTGACATCACTGAAGCTATCCTGAGGTTTTAATGGGGAGACCTTGATTTGTTATTGAATAACGTTTCCGCATATTGTGCCATTTTGTTATTGTGACTAAACACAATGTAGGGCCCTATTTGTTTGTGCTTCATCACATTATTTGCAGACATATGTTTTGTGGACATTAAGATCATTTTGTACGTGAAGAAAATTTAGAACAATGAACTAGCCAATTGCCAAAGATCTGCCCGTAAAATAAAACTAAACGCTGGATGTGACTGCTCATGCAAGTGCTTCATGAGATAGAAGTTACTGATCCAATATTTTTTAAATTAGACTATGTTAAAGAAGAATATCCATGGCCTTTTTTCTTCTTTACAACACAGGGTCATGTGTTTCTATCAGATAAAATGACTTGTTTTTGGCATCTTTGTAATCAAACAAACAAATATACAATACTCTTGGGATAATGAACGAGGAGGGATTTGCTTCAATGTATTCATGTACCAAAATGCAAGTAGCCAGCTTGAAGTGTTTACTCTTATTTGGCTACCAATGATAAATGGACATGAACCCCCTTATACTTGTTGCACTACTAGTCTATATTGTCCTCTAAAATAACTACCTGGTCTCATTACTTTTTTGGGCATTTACAACTTGAAGAACTGTACGATTTAGGGGAATTAACTGAAATAATTTACTCATAAAAGCATAACATATTTATGGTTATGTTAAACCCAATCATACCGTTCATGTTTGAAGGGTTATTGTTAGGGTTATAGTCAGCTAGTTAGTTAGCCAGCTAGCTAGGCTAGCTGGTTATCTCTAGTTGGTTATCTCTGCCCATATCCCCTTAATAAACATTTCAGAGAAATGTGTCTACATTGGCTTTGAGTTGTTTTTAAAACACCAATGGCAATGTAATATTTTCAGAGGGCAATTAGCCATCTGTTTCCATTTTGTGAAAGTGTCTCTACAATAAGGCCCCTCGGAAATAGCCATGTTATAAATGCACAATGTCCATTGAATTGCTCTTGCTGCTTGCAATGAATTACCATCTAACCCTTCTGACTGCTAGATACTCTAATCTAATATTATCAGTGATATGAAAGAAATGCAGAGAGCACAGTACAGATATACAGACTGCATAGTTACTGTTTTAAGCTGTTTGGTTTTAGTTCTGTAATTGCAGGTGACTGTAAATGACTTGGTTTAGTAGTGTGTTGGGCAGAGGACATTGGACAAAGGACCTTATGAGTAAGAAACAAATGCTGTCATCATTTTGAATGGTACTACATACTGTTCCTATGTGTGTTTACTTTGTGGCCACGGCAACAGTGAATGTCCTTGGGACTCACAAATTATTTAGCTTATTCATATTGCAGGCCCGATCTAAAAGCTTTGTGGCAGCGTTACCGAACGCTACGCTACCGTTGCGGAAATGAGATAGGCTAGCTCTGAGTGGCAAGACCCTTTGGTTTTTGCATTTGATTTTCATACTGTGCACTAGAGATAAATGAATCAATATCATGAATCAATCATGAATCAATATCATGCTCAGATGATGAGTTGAACAAACAGACGGAAGATCTGAAGTTTGGTTTTCTGTGTTTATGTCGTCTGTAACGCCTATAAACTGTATATCTGCAATGAGTATTGAGCTGTAGGATGCTAGGAGTCTATATGTGAGTTGCCGGAATAGGGAGCTGAAGAGACAGCATACCTCTGTGAGGTTTACAATATTGATAAAAAATACAAACTATCCTGGGTTCCTTTTTTTCAACATTAACAATGTAAAGATTCAAGGAAACTTAAATCTGTGTGACTTATTATTGGTTTGGTAGGAAACTCATTGTATAAATGTTAATCAACTCCCTTCTGCAAAGTAGAGTATATGTAGATAGGATTAACAGGAAAAAATGTATTTTGCTAAATTTTTACAGGTAAATACATACATTTTTGTTCTCAGCCAAACATATAGTGCAATTTCTTAATTTAAATTTGGTTTCATATGCCACTTTAACCTGTACCCCACTCCCACTTCCCCATCCTCCATATTAATTTATTCGATTGGAATGGATTTTAATATATTATATTGGATTATGATCACCAAGAGCAGAATAATATATGTAAATCTTATTTTATCGCACCTAATATATTGATATGGGGTCTATGTGACGTTGTATATTGAATTCCCCCAAAACTGTAGAGGAAACACCTTTAGAATAGATTTTGAATGATCTTGCTGGCTCTTTTCTTCTCTTGAAACCCCATGATGCAGTTGGGCAAAGATTGGTTGCTACACTACAGGTTAGACTGGCTTCCAGTTGAATTCCCCTTTGACTGCAAACACAAGTTTCACATATTCTCCGAAATAATTGTGGTGAAAATGGATATCAGTTCTCCATTAATAAAACTATTTGAATTTACTACCAAGATTTGAGTTTAGTTAATTCAATCAGTCCCAGTTATAAAGCATACTGTCTTTTTTATACCAAAATTTGAATCCAGTTATTTTACAACATTTTATGAAATCTAAGATTAAAATAATAAAATAATAAAATGACACATAACATGAGCAGTATGTGGTATGAGTTAGAATGAGTTATACTTTATTAAGCAATCCAAACAGTCACAGCGCTAGGTATTTATTTATGTTTTGGTTTGAGTTGAGCTGAATAGTCTGCTTCTATCATTTGACGGGAAACCTCTCAAACAATAGGATTAATATGTTGGTGCCGACCAGGGTTTTCTTTGTGGACATGCAGAATTTCTATGAATATCGTTTTTTGTAACGTTTTGTAACATTTTCTGTTTACCTAGTAACTGTATGTGTTAAGAGAATACCATTATTAGAATAACCAAGTAAAACATGGGGAAATAGAGAAGCTATTGGGTTATTTTCTTTTTAACACACTGTGAATAATTCAATTGTACAGTTTGCTGTATGGGTTATATGATTATAAAGATTTAAATAAAAAATTTAAAACTATATTACTCTTGTTTGAGTCTTATTATTCATAGTGTCAGTTGATAGAGACTATATTCATACAACTAAACTTGAATGCTTTGTTGCTATATTTTAGTCATTTAGCAGATGCTCTTAACCAGAGCGACTTACAGTTAGTGAGTGCATACATTTTTCATACTGGCCCCCCGTGGGAATCGAACCCACAACCCTGGCATTACAAGCGCCATGCTCTACCAACTGAGCTACAGGAGGCTATACATTGTAGTCTACCCAACATTATATTATCAGGTTAAAATCTCCAGCTGTCCCTCTGATTGGTAGACTACAATGTATAGCAACAATGTACAGCACAGATTGAATGCAGGTCTGAACATCTACCTCTGGAAATCTATGTATTAACAGGTTGTTTTGCACTATTAGTAGAGTGGTACATTATATTCTCAGGTTATTTCACGTTTAGATTCTTCTCAGTATGGAAAGGTAAAGTTTTCACACTGCAGTGTATCCAAACTCTCTCTGCAGAGCTGGCTCAAAGATAACTTTTTTGCAATTTGCCATATGGATCCATTCACTCGGGGTGGAATATCCCTTTGAAGTCATGCTTTACCTGAGCTTGCTGATACCGAACCACTGAAGTATAAGTGCACAGTGACATGGAATGACAGGAACAGAGAAACGTGCATTTTTAAACCAGTTATTTACAAGGTTACTGGGATACCATTGTGACTCGCTAAGACATGCACATCAAGCAGGGAGAGTGGAGAGAGTAGTGCATGTTGGAGTGGTAAGTGACTGAGCTGTCTAATGTGTGGGGCACTTCTTCTACACAAAAAGATGGATAGAGGCCTTCTGAAGAGAGTCCATCTGCAGCGACCGCATCGGAGCCTCCAGGGGTTATTACTGATACACACTGAGCGATCATTTGTCTATTTCATGACTATTACTCAATGGCAAACATCCATACATCAGAGCACAGAAGCCTTCTTAGAAATGGTCTCTTCTGCTCTTGTCTGTTACCATGACATTTAATGTGGAACAGCAAGCAGAGATACATTCTTATAGAATAGTCTTTATCTAGGCCTTGATAGAGATTGTCAACCATCAACCCTTATACTATCCCAGTTATCATCATCATCATCATCGTTTGGCTGCAGAACAGTTGTATAAGCGACATAACAAGTGACAGAATAAGTGACAGAATGCAATTTCAGAAAGGAAGCCATATAATACATGGTACGGCCATTGAATCATGACCCAAGATACACTACCTCACCAAAAGTATGTGGAGACCTGCTCGTCGAACATCTCATTCCAAAATCATGGGCATTAATATGGAGTTGCTCCCCCCTTTGCTGCTATAACAGCCTCCACTATTTCGGGAAGGCTTTCCACTAGATATTGGAACATAGCTGCGGGGACTTGCTTCCATTCAGCCACAAGAGCCATTAGTGCGGTCGGGCACTGATGTTGGGCGATTAGGCCTGGCTCG